ATGGGAGATCTAAATGCCAAAGTCAGAATAGACAACACCGGATATGAAGATATTATGGGACGACATGGACTGACTGGAAGAGAGAAACGAGAATGGAGAAAGATTTGCAAATCTATGTGCATTCAACAAATTGTTCATAGGGGGCACAATATTTCTACACAAGCATATACACAAGGCTACATGGATCTCACTGGACCACACTACAGCGAACCAAATAGATCATATTTGCATCAGCGAAAAATTCCGAAAGACAATGGAAGATGTGGGAACCAGGAGAGGAGCTGACATAGCTTCAGATCGCCACCTAGTTGTGGCCAATTTAAAACTGAAGCTAAAAAAGAACTGAACAACTGGACAAACAGCAATACAAAGGTTCAATACAGCCTTCCTTCGAGATACTGACAAACTCAATGAATTCAAGATAGCTCTCAACAACAGGTTCCAAGCCTTACAAGATCTACTGAAAGAAGAAGAAACTAGTATGGAGGACAACTGGAAAGGCATCAAGGAAGCACCAACTTTAACGTGTCAAGAGGTTCTGGGTCTAAAGAAACACCATCATAAGGAATGGATCTCTACAGAAACACTGGACAAGATCAAGGAAAGGAAAAACAAGAAGGCAGCAATAAACAACAGCCGAACACGAGCAGAGAAAAGTCCAAGCACAAACTGAATACATAGAAGCAAACAAACAAGTGAAGAGGAGCATTAGAGCTGACAAGAACTAGCAATGACGGCAGAAAAAGCTGCTAGAGAAGGAAATATGAAACAGCTTTACGATACAACGAAGAAACTATCAGGGAAATACAGTAAACCAGAGAGACCGGTCAAAGACAAAGAAGGCTAGCCAATCACCGAAATTCAACGACAGCGGAACAGATGGGTAGAATACTTCGAGGAACTCCTGAATAGGCCGGCTCCAATGAATCCACCGGACATCGAAGTGGCACACACAGATCTTCCCATAGACGTCAACCCACCAACGAAGGAAGAAATCAGAATGGCCGTCAGACGAATCAAGAACGGGAACGCAGCAGGACCGGACAACATACCAGCTGAAGCACTGAAGTCAGACATCGAAGTAACTACAAACATGCTTTACCTTCTATTCAAAAGGATTTGGGAGGAAGAATAGGTGTCGATGGACTGAAAAGAAGGACACATCGTCAAGATTCCAAAGAAAGGAGATCTGAGCAAATGTGAAAACTATAGAGGCATTACACTGCGTTTTTTAGTTACGCGTATTAAATCATATCAAAACCCAAGCTCTGTGCTCAATTTTTACGGTTCTCTAGAAGGAGCACTTACTCTTTTAACAACAAAATTGTCAATCACAGAACAGTAGATGAATAATGCAAAAAATGTGCAATAGTGACTTCATAAATAATAAACGAACAAACGATAAACTGGGAACACCATGCTGTGAGAAAAGTCAAAGAAATGTTCCAAAAATCCGTGATCAACTATTCATAGCGACAGACTTTCCAAGGATTGAAAACTCAATTATCTGCGATGTTGGTATAAACTGGTGGTTTTTTGTATTTGATGACCGCCTGATTTCAAATTCTAAATATTATACGTTCGTTTGTGCTCCTCTAGTTCTGTTTGGTTTACATTGTGTTATTTCGAGGATTCCTAGTTCCTATAATAATTTAAATATCTCTAATCATAACACCAGGGATAGATTTATTTAGTTGGACGAAATGAAATCAATCAAAAGGATGATCATCTGTCGCGAAAAACTTAGTAACTCAAAATGTTCAGTAGAATAAGGGTGAAATTATTTTCAGAATCCTAACAACATCCAAAAGTTGATCGTACCCCAGAAAATGCGAACAGACAAATACTAAAAAATTGAAAGGTACAATCAGTAACTGAAAGAATGAGAGATATAAACAATGAACAAATAGATAAATAAGAGGTTTAAGGCATACCTTGAGAGATTTACCCATGTACTTTCAGTTCGTGAAGTGCGCGACATTCGTCTTATAGGAAACAATGTTATTTATAACAACTTGTAAAAGCAAATTGAGTATTTGATGCTATTCCTCGTGCCAAATAACCTTTTCGACTCATGTTGTTAAACTTAAACTGGTTTCATTTCCCACAGAGAAATCTTTGTGTAAGCTAAACTACAGAGTGATGTTAAAAAAGGTGCACTAATGGTTTAATAAAAATTCTATTTATAATAACTGCTATGAAAAAATTCATTTGTGTTTCCAAACACTGTGTTTTCCTCATTATATTTTAGAGAACTACTCAACCTTTTACACTCATTTTTTTGAATCTCTATTTATACAGTACTATATCCACTCGTCGCCATGCTTAATCCTCGTTTCCTTTAACATATCAAAATACACATTCACATGAATAAACCTAATTAAAAGGAATAAGCCTAAGAAGTCATCGTATCTTTATTCCGTCATATATCATATTGTATTTAGAACTGACGGTATCGGCAAACATAGCAGGCATTGATGTTTTGAGTCCTGGAATGTCTTTCCGTTTTATTATGCGAAAGTTTCATACTCTCTTAACTGTTTCAAGTTGCGCGGTCCATACATATATACTTTTAAATCAAAAGGTTCCACGGTGATTCAAGTGGCCATTCTGGGATCCATAGTTTCAAATGGTTCAAATGGTTGTTGATGGAATAGAAGCTTTCGCTTAACATGCTTCCGTGTCTAGTAGCAGGGGATCACCAAATCCTCCAGGCAGGAAGCTAGATATATTAACAAGAAGACAGGGAAATAAATTGATACAATAATTAATACAATCCTTAGTCCTTAAGAATAGGTCAAGTTGCCTCCTAAAGGACTCCTGGGAAGTCGCTTGAACTAGCTCAACCGGCAGCGAATTCCAGCATTTGACAACTCTTAAGGAGTAGAAGTTGTGTCTGCATTCCGTTCTGCTATGTTGTGTCTCCAGTTTTTGGGTGTTACCTCTTAGGTTAGTGTTGGAACAAAGCTTGAGTAGGTGTTTGAGAGGATGTTCAGAAATGTTCAGGATATTATAGGCCATCAGAAGGTCACCTCTAAGACGTCTATATTCTAATGGGCAAAGGTCAAGTGATTGGAGGCGCACTTCGTAAGGTTTAAATTTGAGTCCTCGAACTGAATTCGTGGCTCGCCGTTGGATACGCTCCAGGGTGTCCTTGTCCTTTTGGAATGAGGGGGGAAATACTATATTTCCGTACTCTGAATGGGGACGGATTAGGATAACCGTGCAGACACTCCTTAAAGTATCCGTAGAAATTGAACTTTAAATCTGAAACCGTTATCTTTTCTGGCACCTCAGAGACCGTAGCATTATAAAGCATTTTATTTACTCTGTCCATTTTTATTAGCAAGAACTATTCGTACGGCCAGAATGTGTTTCATACACTCTTCTCTATGTAAGAAAAGTGGTTATTCTCCTTCTCATCCAGCGTGAACAGTAGACGATATTCTATACGTAGGCCCACAATGGTAACCAAAAGTAATACCGTTGGTTTAATAACGCACATCACATGATTGTCTACCCCAAACATCCCTATCGTGTTAGTTAAGTGAGACGTTGCGTAAAAATTATGAAAAGTGAACTTAAAATTATCGATAAAACGGTACATCTTATGTAAAGGCGAAAGTTTACACAGTGATTACATCTGGGTGCTTGGGCTATGTTTTCTTGATTATATTCCCCACCAAACCTTATTGTACTCCATTATATTACATTTACCATTCAACGTCCGTCGCAAATCTTCTTGATAGATGTACATCCAGCTTGAAGTATTATGTAGTAAGGTATCAGTGTTATTCGGTTGTGACTATAAAACTCCCAACTCGCATCTCCCTAGTGATGCTGGTATTAAACATTCTCTCACAGATAAAAATTCGAATGTTACAGTACTTGTCACTGTATATATCATTTTATGAACCTGTAGCGTGGCGTCGAGTCGAGATGGACTATGAACACCGCTACCAAGTAGCTCGTTCCAAATGACTCCATAAAATCCCCGAGAAGCCAAATATCAGAAAGCAATTAATGGACCGAATCGGGATTTATTCGCTGGCGATCTCGTGTCATCGAAAGGATACCGAGATCGTGCCAGGATAGAAGCTAGGTTACAGAAGGTAACCGAATTCGCACGAAGTTACAATCGAACTGTGAGAAGAAGAATAGAAGCACGATATAGCTGTCATTAGCACAGTCAAACAAAAGCACATTAAAACAAACACTGGTACAACTGTTTATAATAATAATTGTTTTTATTAAACCAGTCATGTTCTCTTGATAAATGTAAATCACTACAAACCTTTCGCATCTAATAAAGGAAATTCTATCACAATTTTTTATCTTTAGAGCACGAAGTAATCGGTGATCAGTTAAACACCGTCCTGAGTTCACCATTAAGGTTTAATTTTCGCAATACTTATTCATTATTTTCTGACACATCAGAAAGTACACTCTGGAACGCACCCAACAGGAGGCCACGAAATCATTTCGGGCACTCAAATTTAAGTCTCATGATGAGTGTCTCCAATCACTGATTCAATACCCGTTAGAGTAAATGTATCCTAGAGATGATTTTCTAACGGCTTACAGCATCCTTAACACTTCTAGAAATCCCCTTAAACGCCTACTTGTGCTTAGTTCTAATACAAATCTTGAGGGTAACGCCTAGAATCTGGAGACACAACGCAGCAGAACGGACTGTAGACAAAACTCCTACTCCTTGAGAGTAGTCAAATACAGGAATTCGTTGCTAGCTGAGCCAGTTCAAGCGACTTCTCAGGAGTTTTTTAAGAGGAAACTTAGCATATTTTTAAGGACCAAGGACAGTATCCCACTATGATTTAATAACCTTTTTTCTTTTTCCTCTTTTACTATTAGTGTACCTGCTTTCCTGTCTAGAGGTGTCTGTGATTCCCTGCTATTAGATACGGAAACTAGCTTGGCGAAAGCTTCTTCTGTTCCGTCCAGAACCATCTAAACCATTTGGTACCAAACCATTGGAAAAATGAACATCGAAACTGCGGATTATTTGAGGGTTACGTTGCGGTAATTTGCTACACACATGGTCTGATCAGCTAAGATCGTGAGGGATTTGATTATTTCACCCTATGATGTATTTCGTACCTCCCTAGCAGTCTAGTATTAAAAATAAATTTGCCATGTTAGATTTAGATGATAGATAAATTACACTGAGTACTGTATAAAATACGTTATACAATCTAGATTGTATAATATAACAGGGTCAAATCCTTACTTTTGCGTAAAAGTTAGAATTTGACCCTGTTATATCATTGCTGAATAAGTAGGTTATGAATATGTTTTTATGTATAACACATAATTTCATTGTTTTCAGACCTCAGCAACAACCACGATAGGCGAATATCCATGGTAACCTTCCCAATGTTCACTGTAAAAATAAAATTTCTCCCTATAACTATTCATTGTTAACGCTGATATCTGTTCTTTTGGTAGAGCGTTCCAGTAGTTAATTAACTGATTGGAAACACGAAATCATAACTTAGGTCAAGATCAGCTGATCTTGTTTGATCGTATTTTTCTAGTATATATTTCCGTAGTAGCTTTAGATTATGGCATCTGAAGAGCAAACAGATAGAATACGTTGGCACAATAGTAATGTCATACCGTTTATCATTATAGTATGTTATGTAGAAAAGAGTTATAATGATCCAATTATTGGTCACCATTTACCATAGGACTGCATCAGCTTACGTTGCTCCGCTGCCTTGTGGACCAGACCTTTAGGTCGAAGGCTCCGGATGTGACTCCCTAAAAAACCCATCTGCTTCAGTTTGGGCACATGGTTACTTTCACAGACCACACACAAACCAAGTGATTTATGCGGCGCATGTGTATTCGGTGCCCCTATGTAGTAATATTTGTGTGTTCAAACAACCAACAAGTGCTCGTTCGAATTCACTGAGAATTTAGATCCACATACCTGCCTAGAAACTATGTTCTCCACTGTAATGTGAAGTTTCAGAAACTATGGTCTCGTTTGGTGTGTACTGGCATTCCGTGAGCAGATAAATCTTAACTACTTTCAAGATGTTGCTCTAAACCTAATCACTGGCCTTCTGACAAAAAAACATGTCTATGAAAAATTAAACTGTCAATTCCACCGACTTAACACCAGAAGGCTCTATTCGTTCATCTGTTGTCCTCAATATGTCACATGTGTGTAAATAAATTGATATTTATTAAGTTCGGCCAAGGTCTGTAAAGTAAGTAAACCAGTTGCTAAATGAAGTAATAAACACTTGATGTCTCTAGTTGTGATGACTTATTGTTCATTTTGAACCACCGACTTAATGAATTACTGGAGAAATTCCAAAACAAAAATCTTCGTCATAAAATAAAGACTTAATCTACGAAATTTGTCGATGTTGATTTTATGTAGAAAGGTATTAAGTGGGAGAAAGCCCTGATACAGCTGAGGGTCGAGAGTTTACGACCTCTCTAAGGTACTTACTGCGTTCACATTAATGGGATGTCGCCTACGAAAATTAGAAGGGAAAAACAGACGTCTGTCATGAGCCTACGCTAACAATCATTATGTATTGTCCCGTCAGAAGTAACTGAAAAATTTGTATCTGAGTAGTTTTATGGATGCTGGTAGTGGTGTGACAGATGAAATCAATTTACACGTAGTGAAAGCGTAAGTGGCTTATGCTAGTATGGCCTATCTTTGGGACCGTCATGATGTTAACCTGCTTGTGAAAGGTTGGATCATCAATGTGTCAGTGAGGGGAGTTCTACTCTACGCTTACAAAATCTGGTCTCCTCCTGTTGAGTTTGTCCAACTATTCGCTGTGTTAGATCATCGTTGGTGACATCCAGTGCCAACACATCATGTATGTAATTCTGAAGTACGTCAATATCTGCTTAAGCACGGTGAAGACGATCCAGTTGGTGTCACCAATAAAGCACTGACTGTATCCTTTCTTTTATCCCATCCCCCCTCCGTCTCTTCTTTCTTCACAACTATGTCTTTTGATTTGTGTGGCGCGGTTTATTTTTCGGTGCTAGGTTTTACCAGATTCTATGTGAAGTAAGTAGTTGATAACTGAGGTTTTCAGGATGCTTTAAATTAAAAAGCTAAAACACATGCAATCATAAAATTGATAAGAATGACCGATTTATGCATTCAATAACTGTAAATCATTTCTTATTTACTCATATTACTGCGATTGGCTCTAATAATTATTTTCGTTTTCATACTCTTTTAAAACGCAATGATACCTAAGTTGTTGTGAACGCTTGAAGTTTTTGAACTCTTATTCTAACATACATTTTTTAGATGTGTTAGGACATTAAAAATATTCAGGTCTAAATGATATTTATTTCGTACACTGCTGAATATCTTGATTAACTTTTTTTTGTGGTTATTAGTAACTGAATTGCAATTATTCCTTACTATGTTATAAATTGATTTCTCAATCACCTCATATCAGTTTTCCTCTGGAAAAGCTTTTGATTAACCTGTTTGCTTATTCAAATTTCAGGTAACGATTGGTATTCAGAAGATTATATTCATTCGCAATCATGGTATTTGTTAGTAAGTTATACACTCAAATTTTACTTGTATTTGAGGTTGGGCAAGTGATGGATTGAGGATATACGAGTTAGATGAAAATAAAGGGATTATTCAATTGGAATAGTAAGTTTGAATATTTTCCATAAAGATATTTTAGCAAATCATCTACTACTGTGAAATGTTTATCTATCGCAAAGTCAAGCATGTGGATGGGTTACCTTGATGAAACTAGGTAAGGATTATTTAGTTTTGCTTTATACGTCACAGTGTAGTTATGCTTGACGTCAATGATCGATCTGTCGTTTCCACTATCCCTGTTGAGCCAGCTTCACGGATTCAACTATCACCGTGTGGAAAATTTGGATTCATCTACACTTCATTTAAAAGTAAGTCTTATTCCTTAGTTTATGAACTTGATTTTAATGAATAATAGCCGACAATGAACATCCATCTGGTTCGCCAAATATATTTGTGTATGACATGATCAATAGAACAAAGCTCAAAGAATATATTTTCCGAAGAGGTGATGGATGGTAAGCTTTTATTATTGATACGAATGATTTGCATTATTCAGTGAACTAAAAACAATCTTCCCATCCTTTATCACAAACAAAATTACAGCCAGTAATCAATGTTTCCTTTTTGATCTGTTATGATTAGATAGGCTATAACACTTTGTTTGACATTCTTCTTACATATAATCAGTCATCAAGCAACCTTTATGCATCAACATAATTAGGTTACTAATATTTAAAATTTATATATGACAATATTGTTAACCGAAAAATCTAACTATCTTCACTCGTGTATGTTTAACACACTGTAACAAACTTTAGTTATATTTAAACATCTCAACTAAGTTATAGATCACACATTTTTGGATGAATATTTATACTTAGCCTATATGTTTACATATAAATAGGATGGTAGGAATAAAGCCTTTCAGCAAATAAACAAAAGTTATTTTTTACTCCATCCCACTCGGAATTTGTGTGTGAAATTGTAGATGTTTGTCACGTTATAAAAAGTTTACCAAACAATCAGCCATAAACAACGTAAAACTTAACATATGTGTGCATCAGATTAAGTTGTCACACTCTATAAACACATTGAGACGAAATTGTCAACTCAAATCTCACAGTATTAGAGGTAACAATAAAACTAGTGGTAATGAAAATGTTTGGGGACAAGAATATATTCCGATGAAAATATGGATAAGTGAGATAATAAAGCTTTTGTCATGTAATTTAGAAACTTGAAATCTGAGCAAAGGTCAGTCAGTCAGTCAGTAACAACGTAGAACTTCGTACGTACGTACATCAGTTCGAGTTGCCACACCACATTAGCACAGAGATGCAGTGGTCGATTCAAATCCCGTAGTGGTAGAGGTAATAAGAGTATAAGCAGTAATCTGGAAGATTAGTGTTTGGAGATGTTACTTAAAGAGTATAATACAGAGAAATAAATTTGGAAATAGAAAAAAGAAAGGGACATGAAGAAGTCAGAAGATTAGAATTTGGGAGATCACAAAGAGTGGATGCACCTGCGCCATTGCAAACGATTTTGAGCCATGTCATTCAAAGTCTCTAACCATTGGTTGCCATCATCTCGCGGTCCCCAACCAGGTAGTCTACACCTACCAACATGACTCAGTCCACTTGTCAGTGACTTCATGGAGTTTTGCCACGTTTTGGTCTGGCCGCCCCTAACTTTCTTCCAACCTACTCCTATACCACTGAACATCGCACGTCGAGGCAGTCGGTCGTTGGGCATACGTAACACGTGTCCCAGCCATCTCAACTGATGAAGTTTCACCACTTCATCAATTTATTTGGCATCCTTACCTAGTACCCGTTTCCTAACAACTGCATTACTTACTCGATGGTCCCAGGATATACGAGCAATATTTCGAAGACACCTATGATCAAATACTAGTAATCTACGAATATCCTCTACTCTTACCGGCCATGATTCACTTCCATAAAGCAGGACAAATCGAACTGCTGCGCAGTAAACACGTCCTTCGGTTGATAGACGGATATCTCGCCTACGTAATAAATGACGCAAGTTGGTAAAAGCTAGTCGAGCCTTCTGTATCCGTGCTGAGATTTCGTCACATATCAGCCCTTGTGGTCTGGTATGTGACCCGATCGTTGTTGTTACCTTGACGTGGTGGTCGGGCTTGCCTATCGTGATGAAGCAACCGAGCTATATTGGCTGGAACAACCGTTCCTCAAGGCCCTACCATGCCAGACAGGTCGGTTGAAGAGTGGTAAGACTAAAAGCAACAAACCCAAGGTCCATTACTTTCATTATATTCTGCTCTATGCTTGTGAAACCTGGCCTTCGAGTTGGGGATGTTAGACGACTCTCTGTGTTTGATCATCGTTGTTTCCGAAGGATTGCTGGCATCCAGTGGCAACACCATGTTAGCAATGCAGAGTTTCGGCATCGCGTGTTCAGGCGCAGAGACGATAAAACAATTGGCGTCACCATCTTGAAACACCGACTTCGGTGGCTTGAACATATCCTACGAATGTCGTCCCAGAGAACTCCACGTCGTGCATTATTTGCCGACTCTGGGACTGGTTGGAAGAAGCGGAGAGGTGGTCAGTATATGACATGGTGTCGGAGTATGAAAGAAAGCTACAATAGGCTGGCTTCTGTTGGTCATTCACGACTACCTGTCTGGGGTCCTAGAGATGGTGCGACACAGTGGCTAGAGACGTTATCAGATATGTCTCAGAATAGAAGCCACTGGAGATCCTGCTGTAACCTTCCTTTACTTTCTTTATAAAAAGTGGTTGTATCTTCCTTAACTGAACGATTTCTTCTGGTCGCACCTATCCGTTTCCCCCATTATTGTTATTGTTATTATTATTGCTACTATTATTATTATCATTACACTTCCTTACACTAATCGGGTCGTTATTGTTCCTCTTCTCCTTTTTTTCGTTTTACGCTCCTTACTTTTTCTCTCTCGAATTCTCACTGTTTTGTGTGGCGCATATATATCTGGTGCCCCTTTGTACTAATATTTATGTGTTCAAATAAATAAATAATAATAACAAATAAACCCAAAGTCCGAAGACGAAGTCGTACTGCTCACTGTACAGAGGTGTGACAGCAGAAAGGTGTTTCCTTCAGACAACCAACATGAAAGTGATGCTGCCTTCCCACAAGGAGGGGTGGGGTTAGAAAAGGTCGGCCCTAAAAATGCACACTTCGCCTCATCCTACGGATATCCGTCTCCGGCGGTAAGGTCTCAACAAGTACGGAGCTAACACAAAAATTACTCACTAAAAGGTCGTGTGTGACCGACCTCAAACAGTTGTTCCATGGGCTTTGCGGTCACGCTCTCAGGACACTATGACCACCTTCAATCCAATTTTCTTTTCAGGTACCTCCAGAAGAACCCCTCCACGGTGTGTGCAACCGGGAAGTGAACCGCCCTCATACTTCTAACAGCACTCAAGACCACTGGATTCATAATCAACCTCCCTCTTCAATTCCTATTATTCCTCCTACATCGACTTTCAACTCTAAACTTCCTCTATCGGCTTCCCCCTCAAATATCACCATAGCCAACGATTCTAGTGCGCGAAACACTGTCCCAGGTTTACTGAAACCCCGCTCCAAACTACACACTGGAACCTTCAACGTAGGCACCCTATGTCAAATCGGTCAACAGGCTTCCTTGGCTAAAACTCTAGAGTCTCTTACCATTGACGTGTGCTGTGTCTCCGTAACACGCATACAGGATCTTAGTGTGTTTATTCACTTGTTCTCACCTCGATAAAACGGAGAGCCAACGAGATACACCCTTCGTGTATCTGGTGACTTGATGGCTAGCTCTCGTGGACTGGTAGTAGAGATAGCACTAAGCATGAGGGCTGAACAAGCACTGTTAAAGTGGATCCCCGTCAACAGTCGTCTATGTGCTGTTCGACTAAACGGCTCCGTACGAACTCGGTAGGATAGGGACACACGTCGTTGCCTTTCTGTCGTTTCTGCCTACGCCCCCACCGATTGCGGCTCAGATGAAATGAAAGATGAATTTTACAGAAAGCTATCTGAACTTCTTCAGAAAGCTAAATGTTCAGACATAGTACTCGTAGCAGGTGACTTTAATGCCCAGATAGGTAGTCTAAACCAAACAGAAAAACATTTAGGTGGGTATTTTAGTATTCCGCCTCAGCGAACAAATAATGGTGATCGTTTGCTGCAACTGTACTCAGAAAATCGTTTATTTTTAGCAAACACAAATTTTAACCATTAGGAGAGACATCGTCTAACATGGCAACCCCCTACACCAAACCAACAATGGACTCAAATAGACCATATTGCCATCAGTCATCGCTGGGGAAGGTTGATAGAAAATTGTCACTCATTCTGGAATACCTATTTGGACTCCGACCATGCCCTAATACGGGCACGCATCTGCTTGGGCCTCACTAGACGCAAAATAGACACATTAAAAAGACTCATTAGAACTGAGTTGAGTAACGAGAAAACCAAAAGTAAGTCCCAGGAACAACTGAGGTCACACTTAGATATTTCTGAAAACGAGGCTGACCCAGATGTTGCTTGCGAAGATATACAAACAGCTGTGGAAACAGCAGTGACATCTATCAGTGATTTAAACCACAGGGTTACAAAAAACCTGTGGATTTCTACTAAGTCTATTGCACTGATGGATTCTCATAAACTCATCCCATCAGGTTCTGAACACGACGAAGAGCGAAAACAAATCAGATCTAGGTTAAGCAAAAGTCTAAGAAACTACCGAGAGCAGTGGTGGGCAACGAAAGCAAAAGCGATGGAAAGGGCGGCGGCTGTAGATAACACAAGACAGCTTTTCAGACTAATAAAAGAATCTGAAATTAAAGTCAAGTGTAGGTGAGACTATTTCGGAAAAAGATGACACCCATCTGCTCCCAGCTCAGACGTTTAGAACGATGGGCGGAATATTTTAGAGAACAGTTCAGCTCTCCTTCAGCTACTTTACAACTACCCACCATTCCCAGACAGTGTTAATGGGACATTGAAGTAGGTCCTCCTGCAGTTCAAAAGGCTATAGTTAATCCGAAACAAGGAATGGCAGCTGGTTCAAATGGATTGGCTCCAGAGGTCTGTAAGGGTGGTGGTCCAATTTTAGCGATTAGGTTGACTAATATTTTAGCTAAAATTTGGGAGTTGGACGTTTTCCCATCTGGTTACAATCATTTATCGTTCCAATGTATAAGAGAGAGTCAAAATCATCTTGTGACAACCATAGAGGGATTATTTAAACGCCAAACTAAGACTCGTGAACTGAAAACACGAAAAAAACCAGACTGGTTTTAGAACTGGTCGTGGCTGCATCGAGCACATATTCACCATTCGTCAGGTTCTAGAACATAGGCATACTTATCGGCGTCCGACAATGATGGTCTTTCTTGACTTAAAAGCAGCATTTGACTCCGTAGACCGCGAGATTCTGTGTCAGTGTTTGTCACTGAAAGGCATACCTCAAAAGTACATAAACCTTGTAAAGGCTCTTTACTCGAACACTACTAGTCGAGTGAGAGCTTATGGCGAACTGTCATCTACTTTTGCAACCTCGAGTGGTGTCCGTCAAGGCTGTCCACTTTCTCCATTTTTGCTTAACTTCATCATAGATCTACTAATGGAAATATAGCTCTCGTCGACTGAATTCTCGGGTATTGATCCCCTTCCAGGAGATCCACTTATCGACTTAGAATACACAAAAGATATAGTCCTGTTTGGTGAAGACGCTGATAAAATGCAGAGTCTTTTGTTAGCAATGAGCAACAATGCTAGAATGTTTGGAATGCGCTTTTCCTCCTCTAAATGCAAATTATTTCTTCAGGACTGGCCTGCATCAACACATAAACTAAGGACAGGAAGTGAAGTAGTCGGAATCATTGATAATTTCACTTATCTTGGAAGCCTGATCAACCCTAATGGGTTGGTGTCTGACAAAATCTGTACGCAGATTCAAAAAGCTCATTTGGCTTTTGTATGCCTGAACACCGATTACCACGAATTGCAATGCTAACCGGTGTTGGGGATGGTTGGAAGAAAGTTAGGGGTGGCCAAACTAAAACGTGGCATCAGTGCTTGAAGACGCTAACTTCCGCTCTGAGCCATGTTGGTAGATGCAGACTACTTGGTTGGGGTAAATGTGACTATCTTAACCAATGGTTGGAGACTCTGAGTGACATCGCTCAGAATCTATCACAATGGCGTAGGTGTTTACACTCTCTGTCTTCCCTTAAACTAAGAGATTAAAATCACTTCATATCTTTCTGCTAACTAATTCTTTCTTCCTGTACTATATACTTATACAAAATCTTTCTTTTATATATTACCACCATTGACTTAACCACTCCTTTGAATCCGGTGTTCATCTTGTTGTGCTAATGATGTATGGAAACTTGGACCGATGGATATATGTGTTTGGTCCTACATTGTAGCCAACTGACTGAGCAAAGTTAAGAGGCCGCTTCACCTGCCCTATTTCAGGTAACTCTGAACTGTGTCACTTAATGTCTCTGATGATGTGTTACGATAATCGCGCGGACCCTAACTAGTTAGTCTGAAGCTGTCCACACAACTCAGTTCAACAGCCAGTGACTTCATGGACAGATGTCATATTTTGATTTACTCACCCTTATCTTCCAACCTATTCCTTCACTATCTCTCGTCATACATCAAGTTCGGCAGTGGATGCACACACGTAAGACATGTTTAACCAGTCTCAATCGATAAATATCCACTACCCTATCAGTCGACTTGTCATCCTTATCTAGTACTTTGCGTCCAACTTCAGAATTGCTAATTCAATAATCTCAACATGTGCGAGCAATGCTTCTAAGTCATCTGTAGTCAACTTTTAGTAACCCACAAACATCTTCTAAAAACTTCCATGTTGACAGAAGTATTGTCTTCAAATGTTCTAATTAGTTTCATTTGCTCTGATCTTTTGTTATTCCAGTTTTTTATTGCATGCCAATATATATTCTTTCTTTATTATAACATGAATTGAATTGCTTTTATTGGTATGATTTCACTAAGCTATTTATAAACTAAGTAATTCAAATATGTAAATTAAACGAACATGCGAACCTTTGTTGATAAGGCTACAATTTTTCGGGAAGATATGTTGACTAATAGCAGACCTTGGTGTCATAACCAACTTAAATGTTCGCATGATAACCACACTGTCTTTGATGCAATTCTTTAATTCTTTCATATATTAAATGTACTAGGCAACCACAATGGAATTCCGATGCATCCTTTTGCTCGATTTTTGTCAATGGAGAAATTCATGTGTATACAAACAATCTATTTTGTGAGTTTCCATGTGAAAATTGTACTTAATTTTGTTAAATCACTTAGCTTTTGCAGAAGAAAATGAGAGTAGTCCCTTATCCTTTAAGCGAATAATGACCATATGTTTACTAGTGATTGATTTTTAGAGTAGCTTCTCAGACTTTGAGTGAGAAACTGTTACTCACCAATAGCATTGTATAATGGTTGCACAGTTCCCCAAATCGGTCGGATTTAACCTTTGGATGTAGACTTGGTGGTCTGAAGACTAAGTGTGGTTGGGTCATGCATTCATACTGCTGAGGAGTTTCATACTGGAAGGAAAACCTGACCTGTGTTTACTGGGTTTTGGTGGTTATCTAAGTTCAGTTTGTGATGTAACCCACAAATTTCAACAATCTCCATAAACCACCATATTAATCAGGCGCACTTGTAATTTTACTCATATCTATCATCTTACTTACTTACACTTACTACTCCCAATAGTGCATAGGCCACCGACCAGCATTCTCCAACCCACTTTATCCTGGGCCTTCCTTTCTAGTTCTATCCTATTTTTGTTCATTTTTCTCATGTCTGTCTCCATTTCTCGGCGTAATGTGTTGTTTGGTCTTACTCTTTTCCTTTGACCTTGAGGGTTCCATGTGAGGGCTTGTCTTGTGACGCAGTTGGGTGCTTTCCTCAATATGTGTCCCATCCACTTCCAGCGCTTCTTCCTAATTTCTTCCTCCGATGGTTTGTTCTCTTTCATAGTAGGTTGTTACTGATAGTGTCTGGCCAATGGATCAGAAGTATTTTGCGTAGACAGTTATTAGTAAACACTTTTATCTTCTGGATGATGGCCTTCGTAGTTCTCCAGGTTTCCATCCCATACAGTAGGATTGCCTTGACATTTGTATTGAAAATCCTGACCTTGATGTTGGTTGAACATTGCAATATACAGTCCTAAATTAATCCAAAAGTAAGCATATTTTATTTTTCTTTACAACCTAAATGAGGTTCAATATTTGTCGGCTGCACTTTCGAATTCTTTATCAGGTGTCCTATGTTTTTGAAGCATTAAATTAAATACCAGAGCTTCACTCGAATAGCTAGTAGTGGTATAAGGTAACTTGCTAATTTTATTTTATGATAACAGTTGTTGTAAAATCGCGATTATTTACCTGGAAATAATGTCGAAGATTTCTCTAGACAATGTTTATTGTTAAAGTTCCAGGCTATTGGTTTAGTCCTGATTTAATCATCGTTGTAGCGTTGCTGTTGGTCTTCACCGACAAGTATTGAATGTTTATGAGCTAATTAAGATTAGCTTTCAAATCATTGTGTTTTTTTCTCAATTCGGTCAACATTTCCAACCGAAATTCTCACGTTGTTTTGTCTGTTCTGTGTGCCATCAATTTATTTTTAGTTAAACTGATTACATTACTAGCGAGTAGCATAACGTTTTACATGGTGATTTGTTAACCGGATTAATTTTGTCGAAAATAGAGTAATCAATACTTGATTGATGATTTCTTATGTTTCATTGGATTGTATTCCAAATATTTTTGTCTAGTATATAAGTGTAATGAATTATAGTAATGTATAGCGCACAATGACTTTTATGGGCGAAAAGGATTTTATATAGACATTTGCCTATGGAATTTTTGGTTTATATTTGTCTTTTTAGAAAGATTTCGTCTACAGAAATATCTCAACTATCATCTCATACGCCAGAGTAGAATTTGGTTGATAGGTGGCTTGTTAAAATCGTTCACCCTAAAGCAGTTACTTGTCCCATTCATAGAATATTACTGTAATCCAGTTAGAACTGTAAAAGGCGATTACAACTGATGATCATAATCTACGTTTTGTATGTACATTTGATTGATTAGTATATAGGTCTACGAGATTGCTTGGGATATGTGTCTGATTTGCTGCTACTAAGTTTAAAGCCATCTATGTTGATGCAATCTCTGATATTTTTGACGTAATCATTTTGTTTGTACGTCTACAAAGAGTTATTCAGAAACTGTAAAAATATAACGGGTTCCGTCCCTTTAATTATACCTTTGTAAAATCAGTCTTTAATAAATGATTGATAATTTTCATCACCGATTCTCAAATTTTGTTTATTATTCCCCTCATTCTCGATTTTCATCAGTTTGCCAATTTAAATCACTCTAGCTACCCTAGCTTTCTTTCTTTTTCTAGTTTTGCAATGTCGAGGATTTCTCTAGACAATTATGTAATTGCTATCTATTTTTGTAAGCAAACATTTGTTTGTTTGTTTTTGTAAACAGACTCTACTTATCCTAACAGCTTAGATATAGTGTATTGTTACTACATTAAATTCATTGGTTTTGATCATTGCTTACCAATCACCTCTATTTTATTTCATTCTTCATCTCAGTTGTTAATTTATCAATAGCATTATTTTATACTTAGTTATCTGGTAGTAGTGTTCTAAAAAATATAGTTAACAATATTTTTTGGTGCAGTTAGCACATGAAGATTCGCTTAATTTATAGGTGACATTCTTCACAGATTGACTTCAGTTAATATTTAACTAGTTCAATATTTCTTCAAATCAGTGGGTTAGTACTTTTGGTGATGAGAACACTCGGATATGAACTAAATCATATTCTATCTACACAGGTTTATTAGGTCAGTATATAGTACTACTAAACCTCCAGGAAAATTTGTGGCTCAGAGTTTACTGGGTTACGTTATATTAGTCTTGGAATCGCGAAAAATACTAAACTCATAAATGATGCTGTTTTTGTGACTATCCAAAATCAATAATTTAGAAGAAAATAATAGTTTAACTATTTTCACATAATTTCCTTCAAATTATTTTCATACAAACACCTGGTAATATTTATTGCCATTTTGTCTCTATCACTAAATCTCTAATTTCACAAACGGTATTCATGGTCAATGTTCCCACATATCCAACTGGAAGATCACCAGTTCAAATGAATAGTCCCAAGCACCTACTATTAACATTCATGATTTACATGATTATATCTAAGTAAATTTTCAAAATAAAGGATAACTCAGTGTATGAATTTTATTAAATACATAACAAGAACGCTTTGACTGCACATTTAACTGACTATAAATATCAGTGGATAAAAGATATTAAAATAATTACTGACAGCTTACAATTATCATTGTACATAAATATCATCATTCAGTTACTAAATTAATCGCCATTAGAAATATACAGATTAATTCTTATCAGAAAATAGGTTCGTATGTTTCATACTTCTTTTCTTTTCCTTTTTTCCAACAATCAAACAAATAATAGTTTTAAACTAGTTTATGTGTACTTTTATTTCATTGTTGATGGATTTTTGTTTTCTGAGCTGGATGCTTACATTCCTCAACGAATTTTCACTTATTTTAAAGAAAGTTTATTATATTTTATATTCTTTTCTTCTTTAAGATAATATATATTTATAAGCTAATAGACGTGTTTTATGGAGTCACAAATTATATACATATCCAACTTATTCGAAATTCAGATCCATCAAATCTATTAAGTCACTGATAAAGTAGAAGAAGTAAATACAGCTTCTGTAGTAAAATTGGATTTATTTTATTGTAAGCCTTGAATACATATTTCATTGTACACTTCTCTGATTCACAATCAATTTAAATTTTTCAGTAAGGTTTAATAACTTAGATCTTTTGAGGTGGTGGCAAATATTTGTAATTCAGATGGATAAAGTTTGTGCCGTTGATGTTGTTCAGAAGAATAATGAAAGACCCATGATCAAATCCATCCAGCTCAGAGAACGGAACTACACTAAAAACTGAAATCTTTTACATAAGAGTTCGTAAGATGTGTTAAACTTCAAGTAGTAATTCTGAATGCTACGTATAATTCTACTTATTTAATTTGAAAATGTTCTTGTACATTTAAAGTGTTCAATTTAAACTTTTTTTTCAGCTGAAAAACCGTATGCTAAATTATCACTAAAAGGTATCCGCCATTTTTCTATGAGTACTTCAAGTCAACCAAATCTTGCAGTGTATATACCTGGGGAAAAGGTAAATAACAAAATGAGGCGTTTATATACAATCTATTTTTCCTTAAAAAAATGGCTTCTAAACAATCGAATTATCCATATTTTAATGTATTCAGAATGTTTAGTAAATAATTTCTTAACAGAATCTTGCATAGGGTATTCCTTTATCACCTTCACTTCTATTGGTACTGGCGTAATTTCTTGAGAATTTATTACGTATCCGAGGGATTTTAATGATTCTTTGCCAAAATCCGCATTTTTCGAGTTTGATCACTATAACATGTTCACTCAAACTTTCAAATAACTATGTGAGGTTTTGCATAGGTTCCTCAGCCGTTTTGCTTATTATTAATAAATCCGACTACTGACTTCGCCAGTAAATCGCTAAAATGTTTACACTTCAGTGGCGTGGTTGATCTGTATTCTGAAAAAAAGTGTGTAGGTCAGACGGGATTGTGATGTGGTGTGTGTTACTTATATTGACATAAGTAGTATATAATGTTAGCCGTGAACAGAAGGTCTGGCAGCAGAGACAAGAGGATCGAACAGTAAAGAATCGAAACAGAATGCAATTTGTATAAAAATGCAAGAACAATGAAGTCTGAGTCATTTTGAGACAATTGATGGACATTTTGCAAATCAAGCATTTACTTTATGATTATTAGATTTTATTAACAAGGCCTGTAATTTTGTGTTAAATACATTCGATTGTCCCCACCCGTGTTCTGTTCACTACTGTACGCCTAAACTAATCTACTTTTGGAGAAGATACGAGTTACGTGCATGTTGCTATTGAAATTGTCGATATATGATGCAGAATATCTGTCCGCTATTGTGCGATAATTGCCACATGACCGAATGTATTCCATTCTACGGCTCCATATGCAATGCAGAAGACCATAGGTTGTTCGAAAGACATATTTTACCCATTTTCAGTAGCTTACCCAATTCTTCCTTATGTGCAGCCTCTTCGGACCTAACCTAAGTGATTTAGCATTAACAAGTGGACCTTTCGTATTAATGTGGTAGGCAACAAGGTAATAACGTCTGAATTGAAATACATAGCTTTATCTACCTTTGGAAACCTTTCTAGTAGGTTAAAAAAATAGTCTTGATATCTGTTTGCTTTTATAAAACTCATGAATATCGAATCGATTATATGACTTCATTAATTATTGCTTTTCTTTTAGAAGTTGCTAACTGGTTACACTTAGGATTTACTATTAAATTGACATGCAAAATATCTATCCCGATGGTGGTTATAGAGATATTTTATGCTATATGCTTTCACTGTAACGATTTACTAAGAACAAGATTCAATATCAACTGTCTTGTTTTATTATTCGGTTTGCTTACAGGACGCAAAGCTACTGTCGATTCAAGACTATGTTTTTCCCCCTTAATGAGTGTCACAACACTACAGAAAATTGTGCACACGTTGCTTGTTAAAGAGTACCTATTTCGTTCATCACTCCTCTCTATCCTGCTTTGTGTCTGTAAGGCGTAAAGTTAAACGTTGTAGTTATCTAGTCATAGGTATATTTTTAGAACTTCTGTTGTATAGTGAGACCATCAAGAAAACAATCTTAAGTTTCTGTCCTGTTTCAATCAAACGTGATTAGTCATTCGGTGAAGTTGTAAAAATGTACTAAGTGAATAACATTACTGGATGGTAAAGCTACACGCTGAAACACATCTATGAATAATGAGACCGTAACATGATATTATTTCTTTCGGTTACTAACTATCGTTCTAAGTTATGTAAAGATATAAAGGCTTTAAAGTCATTCAATTGGTAGGAATCAGTAAATAGTTTGATCTCTTATGTTCATGGTTCTAGATAATCATTCATCATTGGGCAGTCACCAGTTATTATCAGAATTTGTCCCTTTTCAGTGTAGTGGACGCTACTCACAAGATTTCTTATAAGTAATATGTTGCAGAACGTGACCTTAAAGTTGTAGAACGGAGTGAAGAGTTTCAGTACAGTGAAAGCACGGCATTAACAGAACCATTGGAGATCAGATGAGAAGGTATTTCAGCTTTGTAACTTCACAATAAATATGTATTCCTTCTTTAAATAAATATTTCATCTAGAGCTTAGAATCCCTGGTAGGTTAAACTACATGTTTGCTGGGAAATATATCTTATATTAACATTTAATACACATTCAACATTTTAATATTTTGCTTTCTCATTGTTTTTTCCTATAGAACCAACCTTCTTTTGTCAGAGTTTATCAATGCCGTGATAACCAACTGATTCATACTGCAAACAAATCGTTTTTTCGTGCTGATACAGTCCGACTATTATGGAATGATAAAGGAACTGATTTACTCATACTTACTTCAACAAAAGTAGTTCATATTATAAGTATTATTATAATTATTCGTACCTTTTTCACGTGCCATATTGTTTGTTTATTTGACTCTTAATATGTAAGGGGTTTGTGCAAAATTATGTAGTTTCCTAGTTTACATCACTAATTGGCTTATATTATTAATAATAATCATGTCCTCATTAATGACTAATTCTAAGAGATGTTCTTCGGAGTTTTGGTGAGACACTATGATCAACGATAGCTGGGGAATGTCGAAAATTAATCGAGCCTATAAATGTAAACCAGTATATCTTGAGTTCATAATCCAAAGATTAACTACTTACTGTGAAATCCTAAGGTCATGGTTTCGATCCCGGTGGGATCGTGGTTGCTCACTTACGAGAAATTGTATGATGGAATATGGCGGCTTTTCAGTGTTTATTGAATTTCAATGGTTTTCTAACTAAAGGCAAGCTGTGGTATGTAAACCCCTTTTTCACGAATTTTTCTCATATAGGTGCTCACTTTTAATCATTCTGGATTTATTTCCTTCTAGATTAGTGGCCGAAGGTAAATTTTCTTCTAGCACGCAACCCTAGTCCTGCGTATTAAATTGCCTTAAGTTTAAATCTACTATCCACCACAAATTTAAGAAGTCTTATCATCTAGCGTTAACAGACTAATCTACATAATTTTTAGTGGTTTGAACCACCCTGTTGTTTATAGTTCGACTGAACACACAGACACACATTCAGACGCCCCACAACGGTAGTATTTCTCGACCTTAAGGCGGCATTCGACTCTGTTGATCGTAAGGTTCTATGGCAGTGTTTGTCACTGAAAGGAGTACCAAAGAAGTACATTAACCTTATTCAGGCTCTCTACTCGAACACAACTCGTCGAGTGAGAGCTTATGGCGAACTGTCATCAGAATTGATTACCTCAAGTAGTGTTCGTCAGGGCTGTCCACTCTCTCCATTCTTGTTCAACTTTAGCGTCGACGTACTTTTAGAGATAACAGTTTAATCGTCTAGATTTCCAGGGGTTGAACTTCTAACAGGAGGTTCACTTGTTGACTTAGAATATGCTGATGACATAGTTTTATTTGGCGAAGACGCTGACAAAATGCAGAGTCTTCTGACCACTCTAAGCAACAATGCAAGCATGTTCGGCATGCGATTCTCCCCCTCGAAATGCAAAATGTTACTTCAGGATTGGGTTGCATCGACACCCGAACTAATGATAGGGAGTGAAGTAGTTGAGCGTGTGAACCGCTTCACTTATCTTGGGAGTCTTATCAGCCCTTGTGGTCTGGTGTGTGACGAAATCTCAGCACGGATACAGGAGGCTCGACTAGCTTTTACCAACTTGCGTCATTTATGGCGTAGGTGAGATATCCGTCTATCAACCAAAGGACGTGTTTACTGCGCAGCAGTTCGATCCATCCTGCTTTATGGAAGTGAAACATGGCCGGTAAGAGTAGAGGATATTCGTAGACTACTAGTATTTGATCATAGGTGTCTTCGAAATATCGCTCGTATATCCTGGGACCATCGAGTAAGTAATGCAGTTGTTAGGAAACGGGTACTAGGTAAGGATGGTAAATCGATTGATGAAGTGGTGAAACTTCATCAGTTGAGATGGCTGGGACACGTGTTACGTATGTCCAACGACCGACTGCCTCGAGGTGCGATGTTCAGTGGTAGAGAAGTAGATTGTAAGAAAGCTAGGGGCGGCCAGACCAAAACATGGCACAAGTCCATGAAGTCATTGATAAGTGGACTGAGTCATGTCGGTAGGTGTAGACTACTTGGTTGGGGACCGCGAGATGATGGCAACCGATGGTTAGAGACCTTGAATGACATGGCTCAAAATCGTTTGCAATGGCGCAGGTGCATCCACTCTTTGTGTTCTCCCAAATTCTAATCTTCTGACTTCTTCATGTCCCTTTCTTTTTTCGATTTCCAAATTTATTTCTCTGTATTATACTCTTTAAGTAACATCTCCAAACACTAATCTTCCAGATTACTGCTTATACTCTTATTACTTCTACCACTACGGGATTTGAATCAACCGCTGCATCTCTCTGCTAATGTGGTGTGGCAACTCGAACTGATGTACGTAAGTACGAAGTTCTACGTTGTTACTGACTGACTGCGTTCGACCGAATCTTGGCCAGTCTTAGTTTATGTGCATCATGTGCAAAGTGCCTCGATTTAGCTTTCATGATACACGTTTGTGTGGAACAGATGAAATGTGGCTACCAGCGGTATCCAGGTACATTCAACTGATAAGTCTCAAGCGGGACGAAACGTTTTTTCCGGGTTCTACTGCTATCAATATTTCATCTATCTGACAGAGATGATTTCACTGTTGGTTAAGTATTAGCTCGGTAACTAAATACCCCTATTCAATCATCAGCGGAATTTCTTACGGATTTTTCGTAAATGATTTCATAAACCACAAAAGGTTCTTCAAGTTGAAGTGAAGTAATTTATTGAGACAACAATCTGATTTTGTAACATTTGATTTCTATGGTATGTTCCTATTTATATGTGGTGTTCATCAGGGCAGCAGTCAGAGAAACAATGAGAACTAGGAAGTACTGAAGGGACTGTACTTTCCTGGTATGGAAATCACCAATGTGAATACACGACCCTGCCAAGAATCAGAACCATGACCTTCAGATCTCGTGCCAAACTCTTAACCTTTTGTTCACTGATTTGGAATCTAGTGGTTCATATTCAAGCTTCGATTTTGGGTTTAATGTCGTAGATGTAAAACTGTTGAGAAGTCCTATATCAAATTTTTTAAAGTTGACTCGCTTTTCATTAGGTTATTGTTTATTGTCAAGAAATATCCACAAGCAAAAAACCTATATACATCATCATATTCGGTAGTTATAACAATGTTAAGTTACTGTTCATTCATGGTACTTCTAATAGTCTAGATCAGTGTTAGTATCTAGCATACTTCATTTCTTTATTATAACATTCTGCTATCTATTAACTATTATTTTCAATGTATTGATTACTATCCACCATCAGTAAACAGTTACATGAAACTTAGGATCCATAAATGTTTCAGTATTTTATTTAATTTTCTTGTCCTAACATTGTATGTATGCAGTAAGAATTTATTTTACGTGTCTTGTTTACAGGTTATTAACTTTCCGTCCACGGTCACATGATATAAAGGTTACAGAGTTTAATAATGGTCACATGTTTTAATGACAGTATACAAACATAAATATTATCGCATTTGTAATTACCATTTACACAGTTGGTTATAAACCCTTTATTTAGTCAGATATTCAAGCATCGCATACTGTAACTCTAGTTGTTTTTACTTTTAAATAGAGTCATTGGGTATCATACTAAACACACTACTTTGCACCCAATCATTACATATTACCACAAAGCCTAAAAATTTCAATTTTCATGCTATCTACCGTCATAGTTGTATACTCTCAAGAAATCCTGTAAAAAATAAATTTTAAACGATACAACTAATCAGTGATTCTTGATTTTAATGGTTCTCCCACTGATTTCTATTTGTTGTAGAGTAGATCACCCATTAAACTGTATGTTGTGTCTGGTTTTCTGTCATTTTCTCATTGCTTTTTTGTTTCATTTCTTTTCTAAGCTTAGTGATGAAAGTTATTATGGGGATCAAGGTCTTTATTTTATATCAGCTAGTCGATCTGGTGATAGTGCGGTTGTTCCAATGCCACGTAAAGGTCCAATCTATCATATAGCTTTTCAACCAACAAATTATTCATCTTCTATGATAAAAAAAAATAAAAATAAAAAAGTTGAAGAATATTTTGTTGTTTGTTACGGATGTAAGTGATTCTTTTTCTTTTCAAACATGTACTACTGGGTTGTTTAACGATTATTTATTTACAGAATGGACAGCAAATATGGAGTTGCACGTCTACCTTCTTACTTAGACCTGTTACTCCTCTTGGGAGAGTTATAGGCGCTATATCATAGATCTCTAAGCAACTCTCTCCTGGTCTTTTGTTTCCAGCTGTCACCAACTACAATTACTGATGTTGATTTCCGTATATAATGCCCAAAACCATGTGTTCTTCGGTCTGTCTGTTTTCCTTTAGCCTTGAGGATTCCGAGTTAGAGCTTGCCTTAATATACAGCTTCACGGTTTCCGTAAACTATGTCCTACCCACCTCCACTACCTTTTTATAACTTTCTCCTCAACTCCCAGCTTCTCTGCCACAGTCACTTGCTGCTAATGATATCCGTTCAATTGACATTAGGTATCTTGCTAGACAGTTGTTTATCAATACCTATACCTTTTTGATGATGGTTGTAGTAGTCATCCAAGCTTCAGCGACGTACAACAGTACTGTTTCTGATGTTTGTATTGAAAATTCTGATTTTGATGTTGTCAGACAGTTGTTTCGAGTTCCAGATGTTATTCGATTGTAGGAATGCTGTACTCGCTTTGACAGTCCTTAGTTTCACATCTGGATCAGGTCCACGTTACTTATCAATAATGCCGCTCAAGTACATGGAAGTTCCCACCTGTTACAGAGTCCCTCCATCAAGTGTGATTTGGTTGGTATTCTCTGTGTTGTATTTCAGGACCTGGCTTTTTTCTTTATGTATGTTTAGGGCCCAGTGGAGCTGGTCTATCCTCTCACATATTTTTTTCTTTCAGCTTTTTATGCTTTCATTACTAGGTCCTCCACATATTTTTGGTTATCACCTGTAATGCTGTTCATCCATCTGTTTGCTTCTGTATATTCGGCCTGTACCTTGACTTTCTCTCCTCTTGTTTGTCTTGTTGATTACTGTCTCTTTGTTATGTTTTTATTTCTTGCATCTTACTTAAGGTAACTAAAGAGATCCATTCTTTATGATGGTGCTTCTTACATACCGGATCCTTCAGTCATTTCGAAACTAGTTCTTCTTTAATCTCTCTATAGTTGTTCTTCTGGTAGATTGTGTAGTGCTTGGGACTTGCTTTTTCAAGTTTAATTGGTTTCTTCTGGTTAGAAATTTTGTTTAGCAGCTTTATTGGGAGGTGTGGATGTTAACTTCGCCTTCAACCCTCCCTTTTTACGCTGGCCTAGGACTGGAAGTAGCCGTAGAGGCGTTCCATACTTACTTACTTACTTTCACTATGAGCCGTCATAATTCTTCTAAATGAAGATCGTTAAACTCGGAGGACAGAGTTTAAATAATTTAATTTGTTTATTCTGGTTAGCATTTTTTAGCAAGTTTGTTTTCTATGGGATTGGGTTGCTGACCCCATGCCCAACCCTCCTCCTTTAATCGAGCTTGGGACCATCAATAACCCCATAAGAGTTACAGGCGGAGTTAGAGGAGCTCCATACAAAGTTATTTAATAGCAATAGAAGTTTACATTTGACACAGATCGCTTCTTTTCTTGTTTGATGAAACTTTACAATCAAAATGAATATGGTGTCTAGAAACTGTTGTATAAGTTGACTATAATATATCTATCCGTAATGAAATTCTTAACATTCTCTATCAAATCAATGTACTTATCATGTGACCATTAATTAATAGGTTTGATAACCTGGTAAATCTAGTTGTATTGTAACTAAATTTTTTTTTTAATATTAAGAATCATAATTAAATCAGTTGTCAGTTGTTGTTGATTCTAATCAATTGGTTATTGTGAAATGAAGTCATTAACATTTATTGTATTCGTCAAAAATCGATTGACATAAATTTCTTTCAAGACATATTCATGATTGTTTCTAGTTGTTGCATTAGTATAGTGTGGCAAAAAGAAACACCAAGAGTTATTTGTTACAAGTCAAGCTAATGTATAAATTTGTGAAATCAATGATGTTTGGTTTGAATTGTTTAAAAAAGAATAAGTATTATATTAGCTACGATTTATATTATAATCATTATATTCGTTGAAAAATTCCCATTCTATTAAAACACAATTGAATGAACGAAGAATATTCTTTTCAATAACTTCGCATCAGGTTTTACAACTATATATCCAAATTAATAATCCATAAAATTGAACAGGTTTAAGGCGAAGGATATCATTTAAAATTATAATTTGCGAACCAAAGATTCTTTGTCGTTTAAAATAGGCACTTCTTACCAAATTTGTCTGATGGCCATCCTGATATCTTCGGTCCTTGGTGAAGTGACAGTTATGGGAAGGTTTATGTGTGCTGCTTTGATATCTAATGGGTTCAGTGGGTCTGGTCTATTTAAGAATTCGAATTGCTCTACCCATCTGTTTCACCGTTCTTAAATCTCAGTGACCGGCTTGCCTTCTTTGTCCTTGACTGGTCTACTATATTTCCCCGTCAGTTTATTTATTATATCATATAGTTGTCTGATATTAACTTCTCTTGCAGCTTTTTCCACTCTTGTTGCTAGGTCGTTAATGTTGGGGTTATTAATATGAATTGTTAACTTAAATAAGTTTATACGTCAAATGAAATTGTGAGATATGTGATCAGAATAAATATGCTCCACATGGGATGAGCGAGTGAACAATGTAGTTACAAACCAGAAATTACGTAATAGGTAAAATAATGTGAATTGTGTACGAATTAGTAGATAAGGTTGGATGTTGGATAAATTTCTCGAAAATTTTGGCAGGTTTTATGATAATCATAATAATAACAATGATAAGATATATGGATAAGATATAAAAATGGACATTAATCAACTGATATCATATCAAAAAATTAATTATTAACTAATTAGGCCCAAAGTTGGCTAAAGTAAAAGAAGCGGTTCAACAAATTTTTTTGAACGTAAAGCTCTAGCTTTTTGATTCGAATAGCAATTGCTTTAGCCGTCTACAGGATTCTCAGTCTGACGGATTTAGGCAGACTGCTGTTAACATGATATATTACAGTGAAAAATTGCTCCATGTTGGCTATATAGTACGTTTGAACTAAATGAGCTAAAATGGAACTGTTACACATCTGCTTAGCTACGCTGGGAGGTGCTCGCGAACCCGAAAATATAAATACCTAGAACACCTACCAATAGAACTTGCTCCACAGGAGCAGTTGGGTTGATAGACATAGAAAGAATTAACTAATCTAGGCAAGTTATCTTCCCATCTCGGAGTGATCATTGAATGTGTAGAAAACATTAATTAAAACATAAATATATAATTTTTTCATTGGTCCCGATTCAAATTATTATTTCATCTAAATCAGTAACTGATGGTAGATTTTGTTGTTTATATTACAAATTCTGCTAATTAGATCTTTCCTATCTAGAAATGAAAATCCAATGTTATAAACCTTCACAAAGTAGATACTGTTCATAATTTTTAATTTATCGATCTCAGTAATTAACCATCGTGTATTGAAACTAGTTTTTTTCTTTCTATACGACTAGTTATTAAATTTTTAATGAACATTTCAATTAATAAATATAATCTGATCAGTAGTTCCATCAAATAATTCTATTATTATTTTATTCTTCTCTATTCAACGTTTTAGTTACACCAGCATCTGTAACAATATTCAATTTGAACTGTGAACCAGTTCATGATTTTGGAACAGGTTCATGGAATGAAATTCATTTCAATCCTCATGGGAATCATATCCTTTATTTGATGATTAGTTTTGTGAATAAATTTACTTTCATGTGTATGTGTACATTGTAAATGTAATTACAGTTCTTTTTCTACAGATAATTGTTATAGACAATGGGAAGCGATATCACAACAATTTTTATCTGGTTATCTTACATTGTTGAAAAACAATTTATAATTTTTGTTTATATAAATTGATAAGGAAATTAGTTCAAAATCTTTTTTCATAGATACAATTTGGACTTTCCATATGACTTAGCTCTTATATCTCTTACATAACAACAAATACAACTGGAGACAGCCAGTTTAAAAGAATTTAGCCCTCAACGTACACAAGAGAAAGAGCGATGTCCTGAAATGCAATACAGTGAATACCAACCAAATCACACTTGATGGAGGGACTCTGTAACAGGTGGGAACTTCCATGTACTTGACCGGCATTATTGATAAGTAACGTGGACCTGATCCAGATGTGAAGCTAAGGACTGTCAGAGCGAGTACAGCATTCCAGTTAAAATATTATGCTACTGTTGATCTTTTATTCCCTGTATGATTGTTCAAATAACCCAATTTTATAGATTAAATTCAGATAATAAGAAACGGTAATGAAAGTCTCTGCTTTCACCTTAACCGTCTCATTATTTATTTTTCTTATAGTTTACTATTGTTATTAGCTGGGCTACGTAATTTGTCAGGCGATATGTGTGTTTGGGATTTTTCAACTCATGAACGTTTATCTTCATTTAAAACAACTGATGTGACAAGTGTTCAATGGTTACCAGATGGTGAACATTTAATATTTGCTACAACAACTCCAAGATTACGTGTAAATAATGGGTTAGTTGCATTTTTGTAGTATGTTTTGTTTTTGATACTCGAATTATTTGTCGATTCAAGATTGTATGGAATACCGAAAGTCTCCCATTTTCGATGTTGTTTCATCAGACTGACTGACCTTATGCTTCTAAGTCTTCAAGCTTTCCCCTAATCTCGTTCCTTTAATTCAGGTACCTCAGGAAGAAAATTTTTCAAAGATGTTGGCAACCAGGAAATGACAGTCACTCCCATCCTGCTAATAGCACCCTGGATCACCTCGTTCACAATCAAATCCCATCTTCATTACCTAGTTCTTCTTTTAGCTTTAACTTTTTTTACACCTACCTTCAATTGACTGTGACAAATCGCCTTTGTTATTGAAACTCTGTTGTTTAGAACTGAGATATGGTAGTTAGGTTACGATATATGGTTGTAGAAACTAGATCAGTTGTGTTAGATCATCAACCACCAATCCATCAAACTGACGAGATGTATCATTTTGTGATCTTTTAATTTTAATTTGTCGTTTTTATGTGTTGTTGCTTTTATTCCTTACTAGTTCTGATGTCGTTTTGCGACACTCATCTCTTCACCCTGTTTCATTCTTCTTGTTGACCGAAGCTGCTACCTTGACGTGGTGGTCGGGCTTGCCTATCGTGATGACCCATCCGAGCTATATTGGCTGGAACATATGTTCCTGTAGGTTCTACCATGCCAGGCAGGTCGATTGGTGAACGGTAAGACTAAAAGCAGCAACTCAAACTCTGAGGGCGAAGTCGTACTGCTGACTGTACAGAGGTGTGACAGCAGTAAGGTGTTTCCTTCGGACAATCAGCATGACAGCGATGCTGCCTTCCCACAAGGAGGGGTGGGGTTAGAAAAGGTCGACCCTAAAAATGTCACACCTCACCTTACCTCACGGATTTCCGTCTCCGGCGGTAAGGCCATCTGAAGAACGGAGCTAACACGTCAAAAACCTTATACAAAAAGGCCGTGCGCGACCGGCCTCAAGCAGTTGTCCCTTGGGCTCTGCGGTCACGCTCCCAGGTCGTTAAGACCAACACTAATCCAATTTCCTTTTCAGGTTCCTCAAGAAATACCCTTCCACGGTGTGGGCAGCCGGGAAGTGACATCAGCCCTCATACCCGTAACAGCACGCGAGACCAAGTTGGTCACATTCAAATCCTTCCTACACCTTCTAATACCTCTCTTATCTCCATGACTAACCCTCCTCACGTCTCTTTATCACCTCGCACCGCTAGGGCAAACGATTCGAGTACGTGGAACGCTATTCCTGGTCTCCTCAAACCACGCTCTAAACTACACGTAGGAGCTTTTAACGTCCGAACACTGTGCCAAATAGGACAGCAGGCTTCCTTAGCTAGGACTTTAGAATCTCGCGCCATCGATGTGTGTTGCGTCTCCGAAACGCGCATACAGGATCCAAGTAGCATCATTCATTTGACCTCACCATGCCAAAATAAAGAACCGACTCGATTTACGCTTCGTGTATCTGGAAGTCCTGATTCTGCTTCCCGTGGCCTCGCCGGCGTAGGTATAGCATTGAGTCCTAGGGCAGAACTAGCTCTCTTAGAGTGGATCCCAGTAGACAGTCGTTTGTGCGCTGTCCGACTGAACGGAACAGTAAGAATCCGGAAAGATAGGGACACTCGTCGTTGCATCTTCGTCGTCTCTGCCTATTCTCCCACTGACTGCAGCTCAGATGATGTAAAAGATGAGTTTTACAGAAAGCTCTCCGACCTTCTCCGAAAAGCTAAGCGCTCGGATGTAGTAATAGTGGCCGGTGACTTTAATGCTCAAGTAGGTAAACTAAGCGATAGGGAAAGACACCTGGGTGGATCTTATAGTATAGTGGCTCAAAGAACAGATAATGGCGACCGTCTGTTGCAGCTATGCTCAGATAATCGCCTGTTCCTTGCAAATACTAACTTTAAGCATAAGGAAAAACATCTTTTAACATGGCGACCCCCTAATTCGTCCCAACGTTGGACCCAAATAGATCACATCGCTATCAGCCACCGATGGAGGAGCTCGATAGAAGACTGTCGCTCATTCTGGAGCACATGCCTAGATTCAGATCATGCTCTAGTACGAGCGCGTATTTGCCTGCGTCTTACTGGATGTAGGAAAACCGCTGCAAGGAAACCTCTTAGGGCCCTACTTAATGATAGTCAAGCTAAGAGTATATTTCAGGAACAACTAGGAAAACAGTTAGGCAGCCATGTATGTGATGCCCACCCCGATGCGGCTTGGAATGATATCCGAAAAGCTGTGGAAACAGCAGTGATATCTGCTAGTAAGGTAAATCAGAAGGTTAGGGAGCAACACTGGATCTCAGCAGCATCTATCGCACTGATAGATGCTCGGAAACTCATTCCACCTGGCTCTGAACATAGTGAAGAGCGGAGTCAGCTTAAGCGCAAACTAACAAGAAGTCTACGCAATGATCGCGAACAGTGGTGGGTAGCGAAAGCAAGAGAGATGGAAAAGGCAACGGCAATAGGTAATAGCAGACAATTGTTTAGACTCGTTAAGGAAACCGGAATTAGGAACCCGACTGTTAGCGAAACAATCTCAGAGAAAGATGGACATATTATTCATTCTCAATCCATTAGATTGGATCGATGGGCAGAACACTTTAGGGATCAGTTCAACTGGCCTTCAGCCACACTTCGGTTTCCCACGATCTCCAGTCAACCTGAATGGCAAGTTAATGTAGGTCCTCCGTCTCTTTATGAAGTCGAAAAAGCCATAGGAAATCTGAAACGAGGGAGAGCAGCAGGCCCTGACAGGTTTACTCCTGAGATTTTTAAGGATGGTGGTTCAGTATTAGCAATGAGATTAACCGAGGTCTTAGGTAGAATTTGGGAACTGGACGTAATTCCATCTGACTGGTCTCAATCACTGATTGTGCCAGTTTATAAGAAAGGACAAAAGTCCTCTTGTGACAATCACAGAGGAATCAGTTTGACTAATATAGTGTCTAAAATATTAGCTTCAATAATACTTCGACGCCTAATCAAAGCTCGTGAAGAGCAGACTCGAGAAAATCAGGCTGGTTTTCGACCTGGACGTGGTTGTATAAATCAGATATTCACACTACGTCAGGTTCTAGAACACAGACACACGTTTAGACGCCTCACAATGGTAGTATTTCTCGACCTTAAGGCGGCATTCGACTCTGTTGATCGTAAGGTTCTATGGCAGTGTTTGTCACTGAAAGGAGTACCAAAGAAGTACATTAACCTTATTCAGGCTCTCTACTCGAACACAACTCGTCGAGTGAGAGCTTATGGCGAACTGTCATCAGAATTGATTACATCAAGTGGTGTTCGTCAGGGCTGTCCACTCTCCCCATTCTTGTTCAACTTTGTGGTCGACGTACTTTTGGAGATAACACTCTCCTCATCTAAATTGCCGGGGGTTGAACTTCTACCGGGAGGTTCACTTGTTGACCTAGAATATGCAGATGACATAGTTTTATTTGGTGAAGACGCTGACAAAATGCAGAGTCTTCTGACCACTCTAAGCAACAATGCAAGCATGTTCGGGATGCGATTCTCTCCCTCGAAATGCAAAATGTTGCTTCAGGATTGGGTTACATCGACACCCGAACTAGTGATAGGGAGTGAAGTAGTTGAGTGTGTCGACCGCTTCACTTATCTTGGAAGTCTCATCAGCCCTTGTGGTCTGATATGTGACGAAATCTCAGCACGGATACAGAAGGCTCGACTAGCTTTTACCAACTTGCGTCATTTATGGCATAGGCGAGATATCCGTCTATCAACCAAAGGACGGGTTTACTGCGCAGCAGTTCTTTCAGTCCTGCTTTATGGAAGTGAATCATGGCCGGTAAGAGTAGAGGATATTTGTAGGTTACTAGTATTTGATCATAGTTGTCTTCGAAGTATTGCTCGTATATCCTGGGACCACCGAGTAAGTAACGCAACTGTTAGGAAACGGGTACTAGGTAAGGATGGCAAATCAATTGATGAAGTAGTGAAACTTCATCAGTTGAGATGGCTGGGACACGTGTTACGTATGCCCAACGACCGACTGCCTCGACGTGCCATGTTCAGTGGTATAGGAGTAGATTGTAAGAAAGCTAGGGGCGGCCAGACCAAAACATGGCACAAATCCATGAAGTCACTGACAAGTGGACTGAGTCATGTTGGTAGGTGTAGACTACTTGGTTGAGGACCGCGAGATGATAGCAACCGATGGTTAGAGACCCTGAATGACATGGCTCTAAATCGTTTGCAATGGCGCAGGTGCATCCACTCTCTATGTTCTCCCAAATTCTAATTATCTGAATTCTTCATGCCCCTTTTTTTCCTCTTTCCAAATTTATTTCACTGTATTATACTCGTTAAATAACATCTCCAAACCCTAATCTTCCAGATTACTGCTTATACTCTTGCTACCTCTACCACTACGGGATTTGAATCGACCACTGCATCTCTGTGCTAATGTGGTATGGCAACTCGAACTGATGTACGTACGTACTAAGTTCTACGTTGTTACTGACTGACTGAATAATCTCCTACATACACATATGAAATGAGGAAGCTGGTTTTTCGATAATTGAGAAGCAAATTTAAGAATTATAATGCATATCGGTTCAAATTACAAATATTTTTAAACTGTCCAAATTTTTTGTAGGCATCACACTTAAGAACAATTGAATAACCTCCAATGTAACCATTCAGGATGAGCATTACATGATTATCATCTCTCCAATCCATATTCAAATCCAGAACATTCTCTATTGAATTCATTGTAGCATAAATCTAACATAAACTTTCTGAACTTAAAGTTCTCGTCAATTACAATAGCTTCCGTCTTAATGGACAACAACTACTGTGCTTCGTTGTTAGTCCATCAACACCACTATCATTCTGTTTTTATTTTATGAAACTGCATAATTTTCTCTGCTCAATTTTTCAATCGATGATTTGTTTCACTTTTGCCTGTCCTTCATATTCAAATCCATTTGTTTAGCTTTGATTTTATTTTTGATCAAATATTTATTTATCATGTTTGAAAACTCTAAAATCGGAATTCTTTCAAATCGATTAATTTTGTTTGTTTATATATTTAAATTCATTTACTCATTGTGAAAATTGTGTGATTTTGTGTATTGTATTGATTAATTATTGACTACTGGTACCTTTGATAGTTATTCACCAAAAAAAAAAAAAAGAAAACATCGGAGTTAAAATGTTCACCTTGCAACTAATGAATCATGGGTTCGTTTGTACTACTCATGATATACTTCGATCTGTATGGTCGCTTAACACATTTGACATTCGTGAAATAAGTTTGACTCAAAGAACCCACACGTTGTTACGTTATGTAATCAAATAAATTATATAGTAACATCAGCATAGCTTATTTTTTCAGCCCTATTGATAGTTTGTCTTGTTACTAGATGATTCAAAATATAATCAGAATATTTTCAGCTTGATGTGGAATCACTGTATACCAATAAACTTATTATTCTTATTATGATCTTTTCTTCATTAATCATGAGTGAATTTTTAAGTTAACCTTATTGTCTTAAATTTCATAGATTTGGAATATGGCATTATAGTGGTAAACAATTATCCTATCGACCAGTTGAACGACGTGCTATTCCTAGAGCAGCTACACCAGATTTACCCGCTGCAGTTGATCATGAATTATATCAAGTTTCAGTTATATTTCCAACAAAACTGGAATCTGCTCCTGAACCGAAAAAGTTTGAGTCTGTAAGTTTTCGAATTGTTTTAATTACGTTAAGAACTTTACTTTGTATTCACAAAATGTATTATTTTAAATGAATTACTTAGTAACTGATTATTTATTTCTCTGAATACCAAACTTTACTTAATCGTCAGTCAATTGAGATAACAATTAAAAACATCGGTAAGCAGAGAGAACAGTTGTTGTACTTGATATGGCGTCTAAAATGATATCTACCCTCTAAGTGTTGATAGTGTTTTCTAAGCAAGTTTTTTTTCACATGATGAGGTTGCTAACCCCATGCCCAACCCTCATCCTTTGCCTGGTCGTGTGACCGACAGTAACCCTAGAAGAGTTACGGGCGGAGGCCGATCACTGAGATTCAAGAACAGAGGAACAGGTTGATTGAAGTCTCTGAAAAACTCTTGGATAAACCAGCTCCATTGAATCCACCGGACATCGCACCAGTACCTACAGACCTTCCTACAGATGTAACTCTACCAACGATCGAAGAAATCAGGGTGGCCATCAGACAAATCAGGATTAGGTAAGCAAAAGGACCTGACAATTTACAACCTAAATCGCTGAAGTCAGACACAGAAGCAACTACAGACATGCTCCACATTCTATTCAGGAAGATTTGGGAGGAAGAACAGGTGCCGAAGAACTGGAAAGAATAATTCCTCATCAATATACCAAATAAAGTGCGAGAACTACAGAGGCACCTCACATTACTATTGGTACCGGGAAAAGTCTTCAACAGAATGTTGCCGAACAGGATGGAAGATTTAGCTGACGACTAGCTTCGAGATCAACAAGCCAGATTCCGTAAGGACGGACCGAATCGCGACACTACGGATCATCGTTGAACAATCAGTTGGATGGAACTCGTCACTATACATCAACCTCCTTGACCATGAGAAAGCATTTGACACTGTGGATAGGAGGACCTTATGGAACCTTCCTCTACACTATGGTGTGAGTAGCTGGTAAAATCATCGACATCACTCGGAATTCATGTGACGGATTACACTGCAAATTCTTGCATGGAAGACAGCTGATAAACGTATTCCAAGCGAGGACGGAAGTCAGACAAAACTGCCTACTCTCTATCTTCCGGTAGTTGACTGTATTTTAAAGACCACATCTCAAGGGTAGCACGGAATAGAATGGACAACTTGGACGCAACTAAACGATTTAGACTTCGTGGATGACCTAGCTCTTTTATCTCATGCACACGAGCAAATGCATATGAAGACCGCCAATGTAGCAGAAGCCTCCGCATCGGTAGTTCTCAACATACAAAAGGGAAGAACCAAGATCCTAAAATCTAACACGGTGAACACCAATACAATCACACTTGATGGAGAAACTCTGGAACAGGTGGAAACTTTCACGTACCTGTGTAGCATCATCGATGAACAAAAAGTATCTGATGCAGATGTAAAGGTAAAGATTGGCAAAGTAAGGACAGCATTCATACAATTGGAGAAAATATGAAACTCAAGACAACTGTCAAACAGTATCGAATTCGGAATCTTCAACACGGACGTCAAAAAAGTTCTACTATAGGAAGTTGAAACGTAGAGAACTACCACAACCATCATTAAAAAAAGACAAGTATTTATAAGCAATCGTCTACATAAGATACTGAATATCAGTTTGCGGGGTACCCTCAGCAACGGCCTACTGTGGTAGAGAAAAAACCAACATCGAGTTGAAGAGGAAATGACTTGAAGTGAACTGGGTTCGAGCTACGGAGTAAACATCAACTATGAGATTCGTCCTGGATCCCACTGCTGACGATCATCCATCTTTGCTTGTAATCCTTATGACTCATTAGCACCCTCATATATTTTATACTCGGACATTTTATTTATATAACGATATATTCTTATTTCTGTTTTATTGTGTATAACAATCATTATTCCGTTCCCTCGTTAAAGGTTAATGTAGATTCTGTAAATAAGCGTTCTTCGGCTTACGTACCTCCGGTTCTTCGTAATCGTTCTGCAGTAGCTGTACAATCATTGAAAGCATCCAATATGATTGATCATGGTAAAATTTCTACCCACTCTTTTAACAATAATAATTCTAACATTGGAAAATTGAATCCAAGCAAAAGTATGTTGGTTGTCCAATAACATTTCATTCTTTTTGATGTTATAAAAACATATTATTCTGATAAATCACTTATCACCGGAATGGGGGTTTGTGAAGATTGTATTAAGTTTAATAGTTGATTTCATGAATCGATTTAAGCTAGACCACCATTGAAATCTTGGACACACTGGATAGCTATGTCGTCCTAGTACGGGACTACTCAGCAGTGCACATCCATGACCCCACATGTGGGACTCGAACCCAGGACATTCGGTGTCGCGCGCGAATGCTTAACCTCTAGACCACTGAGATGACATTCAACGGTGTGAATGTTTTACTTCAATCGATCCATGATCTTGTGCAACTATTCATCAATTGTATGGGTTAGATATATGTTTCTCCTCAACATGGATTAGATTCCACCGGTTACGGCTTCTCACTAGAGCTCCAGGTTTTCAATGGTGATTTAGCTCATGAATTCAATTATTACTGGAAATAAATTATAACCTAAGCATATATTGATTATGTATGGTTAGCCATCTTGTTTTGATACCCATGAATTAACTTATGTTGTGAACATTTAAAAAACGTATATAGTGGACTTAGTTCTGGAATCATTAGAAATCTTTGAATGAAAGTGCAAAGCGTTTTTTTTTATTTCATTAATCCTGGCTAAAAACGTTAAAGTTCACTGAAATGATTTTCCCTATTTGTGTTTATCTATTTATTACTTCAAGGGTTGTTTTTCTTTCGAAAATTATTTACATATAAATCAAAAAAAATAATAACTATCTTATGGTTTGGAGAAAAAAATCTAATCCAACTAAGCCTCTTATTAAAAAATAAATAAAAATAATCAATAATTCTAATATACAATTGATTTTCATGTATTAAAAGTCATAACCAACTAAATGATATGAATGACCTCAAATGTGTCTAATATTAGTCATCGTAAACAAAGCATGTGACCTAGACCAATAAGTCTGTTTTCAACATTTAGTACAATAATAGAAGGTCATACTGATATTAAAAAAATTCAACTAGGATTGGTTAAAGGAATCATTGAATTTATTTATAGTTAACTATAATGATTAGTAAAACCTTGGCAGTTGTAAAACATGTTTTAATTCACTTTGTATGTATAACATGAAATTGATGTTTGCAAATTTGATTGAACTATTTAAATGTCAGTCAAAAAAAATTTAAACATCAAATCGAACTGTATGCATGAATAGTAATATAATGGTTTCAAAATTCAAACTAAATGATTCGAACAAGAATAGGTAGTATTAGTCAGTTGTTTCATCCTATGTACATTCATATCATTAGGAGTTCAACCCAGGACATGTTTAGACTTGATGCTAATCAATTATGCCAATCAAGATTTCTAGTCAACTAAATAACAGTCTCATAAAACAAATGCCATTCATTGCGTCCTGTACTAATGTGTATCTGTGAAACGCAAACTAGAAGTATTTGGTGATGAGTGTCTCTGATGTATTGCTGAATCTAACCAATGATGGCGTATCGATTAGTGAGGTTGTGATTTACCACTAATTGAAATGGTTGCGTCATTTGTTACTTGAACTGAACCACCGCCTAAGTAGCTATACGATGCTGGCCTGGTTAGATTGGTATCCGTAAAGACATTTATTGTCGAATCGTACCATCATGGCTGACGTAAACTACGTGGTTCCAATCACCCATGGCAGAAGCGACCAGTGGGTGAATTCACTGCGATACATAATTCAGAACCGATCATTGATACAATCTGTTTCCCTCCAAAGATGTCACGGATACGCAACGCTTAACAGCACTACTGTCCACAATCTCTTCCTACGTAATGATCTCGAAGTCAATCAAGCAAACCAAAAGTCAAGGTTGATGTAATGCAAATACACGTGAGTCATATGATGTAATGTCTCAAAGCTTAGTCATCGCACAGCACTGGGTGTCCAAAGGTAACCGGGTGCAAATTCTTGACCGAGTACCTCCATTCATGGACATATTCAAAGAAACCAATGTTGAAAACTTACAAAGCCATTTGTTGTAAGGAACAGATTTACCCCTTTATTTCGAAAACCTTTATCATTAATTCGTATTTCTTAAACTCGAACTCATCTCTTGTTTTCGAACATTATAATATTAAGCTTTTGCCATTATTATTAAAACGAAGACTACTTCAACTCAATTTGATGTTCACAACTTTCTAATTTCGTGTTGCCGTACTGATTTGGTTGTGGAGATTGGACCGCCACTCCAGTGGTCAAGAGACTAAGTGTTTGCGGCCGAGACCGGAGATCGCGGCGGCGCACTCGTGAAGAGAACCAGTTGTTGTCTTAAATTGAAATCTCAATAACGGTCATACTCTGTGCTCAAACTATGTATTAATAAACACCAACTAGTTTTTTTGTCATATAACCACGGAGTCTCGCAAGCTTACTTATGAAACATGGGTTTACTGTCCAGTACTAGACTTATTATGGTTCACCTTTCATTCCTCTGTGGAACTTGATCCACTAATTCACCTCAATTATTTTGACTACCTGACAATGTTTTTACTTCTACTCAATAAAGTCATGGGACTTAAGTGATGTCGAATTCAATGAACTCTCTAAACCTAAAACTTCGTATTAGTTCTTTAATGAATGATATAAAATTAAGACATGATGAAAGCAAGTTTTGTAGAACTCGCTGGCTTGTTATTTTGAATCTTATTTAGCTACTGGTTCAAATCAGAAAACCGCATTATCTTCAAATGAACCTGCCCGGACTGGTGTTACAGATCCAACTTCATCCAGTAATAAATGCGCTCACCCAGCTGCATCAGACCCGAAAAACCAAAAGCAAGTTAATCAGATATATAAAGTGAGTTCATTGTCGCATTCTATCCAATCTCTTTACTTACGTATGTTTGATATTATGCCTACTAGAATGTCACGCCCTCCTACTGGTGTTTTCAGATAGACTGTAAATTAATGTACTGGTACTTTCACGACTTCAAACGATAGGTTCTTTTTAGTCAGCTAACAGTTTTTGCGCCCATTATATTCTCCTTTGGAGGTGGTATTTATCACTGATGTGAATGTCAGTTGAAATTTCTACAAAAACCAGTGCATAGTTTTGCTATCGCTACCCATAACATTGTATTGACGGTAGTCAGTGAACGTTTATCTAAAACTTATTCACTTCTTTTAAGGCTTGTACTGTCCGTAACCTAAAAGCTGAACAATGTCTCATACATTCTCTTGTACTAGAACAGACGTGATCAACAAAACAAACTAGCACAAAGATAGCTGCAAATGATGAGTGACATTAGTATCCTTGAGGCTTGGACAAACCAGTGTATTGTGATTGATTCCGGAATATGTCACTCGCGACTTCAAACTATTGATTCACATGCTCTACCTTATACATAACCCTTATCAATCTTCTTTATACTTATGGACGTGAATTGACTCAGTGACCTCGATTAATGTAGCTGTTTACCTACAAACTTCTATCCTTGGCTTATTAAATGCACGACGGATATCATATACATGTGCTTGGGTGTCAGTGACACATTAGTTCGTGAAAAGAAAGGTAGAAAGCAAATTTAATCTCACGATTTAACTTTATACATCGACTTTACTCTGATCAATCTTACAACATGAAAGAATCTCCAGTCGTCTTAACATCGCCTAACAGAATTACTGACTATAAAAATGGTAAAAAGCAAGTCGGATTACAAATCCTAACAGTATATATCTACATCACACCTTGGCGTAGTTATACTTTGCATTATTTCCCCTTGCTTAATAACAGAAATTGACGCAGATTGAGAAACTAAAAACAGAACAGGCATCCGGAAAAACTTTGGCCTATAACCAACTGGACAAAATTGCGAGTGAGAAACAACTCCGGGATGAATTAGCTAAACTATGCATATAAAGGCCATGTTGACAATTTTTTATTAAATTTTTCACGTATTTATTTGGAGTACATTTGCGTTGTCTTGTTGTTCTTAACTGTGAAGGTAAACAACCTAAGTGATCTAATACGAAGTTTTCACCATGAGAATCGCTACCTAAAGAGAATATAACACGATTCGATACGAGTGACGTTACATAATAAATCCGGCAATAGATCACCACAAAAGCTGTGGTCTAGTCAGAATCTGTGAAGTACACCGACTAAAATGAGTCTGGAATCATGTGCAAGCATATCAACTCAGCACTAATTGAGGGCTAAAATATTAACAGCTAAATGGCATCCATAAGCGGGAGACTGATTCAAACGTTTAAAATATGCTCTGAAACAATGCTCTTACAATCCAGACCATATTGTTAAATGTTTAATTTACTCTTTCTAGTAATTTGTTTAAGAAAAACGTTCATCATAATAACAAGTACGTCGAGGACCAAACGGAAGCATTTAACAACATGCACATGTTGCAATAACTTAATAGTATTTTAACCCTAGCTTCCTAAATTGAAGAGGGCACAACACGCACGCGTTTATTTCGCCATCATACCACTGGAGCCCCGAGAAGCAAATATACTGATGAATCGATTTAGCGTGACATATACGCGCACCGCGGAGAATCTGCACGTGATTAATGCGATTTAAAGTCAAACCAGTGTTTGCTGAATGAGGTATATTGGCACTGATTGTGTATATTGTACAAATTCTTTGCAAGAGAATGTCCTGACCCAACGAATCATCGAATAGATTTTACCCAACACTACGTTGATGCAAAGGTATTTCCCGAGTTTAAGGGCTAGCAGGACAGTTTTTCTATAAAACTATTTTCGACTTAAAACAGATTATAGGACAATTTCGGAGTAAAAACACATGCTCTAAGCGAAGCTCACTGAGACCGGACGCAGTCACTTAGTTTTTAATTTCCAAGGTTTAAACGAAAATTGCAAGTTTATTTTAGATACATATAAATGCATATATCGTGATATCCACAGAAAAATGACTTTCAGTTAGAACAAGATATTACGGGATAAAATGTACAAATTAGACATTTAAAATGCAATATGTACAACATCGATTGAAATTAATATGGGCTAGAGTAATAACCACCATTGTCCCTCACACCATACCCTCGGCTACGATCCCGTGGATTGCGTTCTTCAAATCTCCTTGAGAAATCACCACCAACCTAATAGCCAATTATAAAAAAAGAATATTAGCCTCTCTGAACTATATGCTTCCGAAGTAGTGTAAACTAATTAGAAAACGAAAGTATAGACTGTCAGATGATGTTTTGGTAACTTACCAACAAGATGATCACCATATACGTTGGCTCACAAAAACCACACAACACGACTCCATTATCATTACGATGAACGGATGATATACACTAATTCAGACCGTAAGGTATCCCAGCTAAGTGCGCTATTGTATGTTCTATGCCCACCACATCAACACAAATATAATAAACTAGCTACACGTGAAGGAGTGAAAAGAATATCAAGTCCCATGAAATTATCAACGCAATTCGTATAAACGTGCGTACAAATTTTATCGATGGAAAATAGTAACTTAGCTTGATTAGCATCAGAACGATGAAAGGATGCATTTATAAAATATCAAAACTGCAAATCTATACGGCTCGGATATGTTGCGTTTGTCGAATTTCTTCGATGTATAATCTAGTTAGTATAATGTATACTAACATGTTGCTATATCATGTTTGTGTGAATTTTTATATGCACAACAGTTTAGCAGATTCTAGCATGTTGCATTTGCACGATAACCATTTCATCCCTGATACGAGGCATGTTCGGTACCTTGGGAGTTGATAAGTAAATAGTTAGGGATGCCGGTAAACTCAAGTTGTCATAGGTTTGATACGACAATGCTAATACTGTTGCATCTTTAAATGTTACCACATACAATCACTTGCAAAATACTTATCCCATTAGTCAATATCAAGTGAAAGTCAGACTTTTGTTTGAAAATTGTGCATGAATTTTAATCGCACTTTACAAGACATTGTAGTCATTCATAATTAACTTTGAGTCTACTGCTCATACGTTGATCTATGTGACTATACATCATTGGTAGGAAGATTAAATTTAATCAGATGAGTGTTTAGGAGAGTTATCTGACAGTAATGATACTGGTTAAGAATGAACATTAGGAATGAGATTCTTCAAGTCAGATTTGCAAGATGCGTATGGAAGTGTACTGTTATTAGTGTAGTCAAAATTAGCAGTTTTCGTGGCTTGACGCTGTACGTAACGTCGGTAGGGACTAAATTGTGTTACGAACAATCTAACTGGCATCCACACTGACAAACACTACTGATACATCTTTTTCAGATAATCAGGTCTAACCTCAGCTATGCAAAGACTTATTGATAAGCCTGATACGATAATACTAACTCCTTCAGACATCATTACCAAAACTTCAGAGTAAACCAAACATTTATTATAATAACCAACAGTACTGACCCTGGCCCCGTCGCGACCTCTACCTCTTCCACGGTATGATCCAAACCCATTGCTTCTATAACCATCTGAGTCATTTCTATCACCGCGCGCTCCATACTCTCTGGGACTTCGCCCGTAAGGACGATCCGCGGCATAGGCACTACCCTGTGAATTTTAAGAATACCTGATATACAAAACGTACCTTCACCGGCTTTCTGTCAGGCCCAGTAACGTCGGAGGCCTCTACACCTTTGTCCCCTTCGACAACAAAGAATTCGACTTCTTCATTTTCCTGAAGGGATCGCTGCATTTTCCCTGGGTTATTTCTCGAAATAGCTGTTTGGTGAACGAATATGTCGGATGAGGTATCAGACCGAGTAATGAAGCCATATCCAGCCTTGACGTTAAACCATTTGACTACTCCTCTAACCCTATCATCGGTCATTCCACGAGGTGCATTGCGACTCTTTCTATCGCTCATATTACACAAACTAAATGTACTAAAGAAGCCCTTGTCGTCGGACTTCGAAAACAGCGGCTCAATGGGTTATCTGTGTCGCCTTTATATTTAGAGACCATTTAAACAAACGGATAAAGAATGTGTGATTTAATGTGGCTGATGAGTGATTACAATGCATCTTCTAAACTAATCAGCACTCAGCTCACAGCTTATTGTATTAATTTGTTGGATTTTCGGGTTATGCAACAGTAAGTGGCACTAGTTTATTTTATGATTTAACCCTAAATTATCAATACCTAGTTATGTTACTCCTTTTCTAGTATGCTTCTATGAGTGTCCAGTTTCCTCTTGAATGATCCGATTGAAGGAACAGATAGGTTCCCAAAATTTGTGACTTGGTGTGAATTGCTGTATGACACGGCTATTTTGTTCGTCCTTGGTATTTCTACTCGCCTGTTGTGTCCCCTGAGATGCATCGATCTATTGGAATAAAAAGAGAGAACATATTAGGTTTGAAATCACTTTTTAGTAATTTATACATCAAAATTAAGTCACTTTTTAGTCTGCGATAGGTCAGACTAAAGACGTCTAGATATTCAAGCCGCTTTTTGCATGGTAAACCCCTGAGTTCTGAAATCGCATGGGTGGTTGCCCTCTGTTCTTTTTTCGAGATATCCAAGTCACTTTTTAAACAGAAGCTTGCAGCCTGGACGCTGTTCTCATGTTGAGTTCTCACTAAGGTTGTGTTTACTGTATTGAAAATGACAGTATCTAACTCCGTGGATGTCCGTCTTAAAGCCCAGAGTGTTCTGATCCCCTAGCTGCGTCCTCCCGGCAATAGGCCAGTTCCTTAGGATCACGACACATTGTCATCCTGTGATCCCTATGAGACCGTACCACGGGTACACGCACTTTCTTTATGCTGTGCCTATTTCCCTTTGCATCCCGAAAATGCATGTGGACACATTTTGGCGCGTTGATAGTGTAGCGGTAAATAAATCCCAAAAATAAATAACTCTGTAAGTTTTCGACATTGGATGCTGACCAGATTAGTTTTAGTGGACTCATCTGACTGAAGGCTCTCGGTCATGCATCCGCACCAGATCACGTGTGGTAACGCTGTGCTCAACATTTACAGCAATCGCTAGCCAGATTAGGTCAGAGAATTCCGATATATTGGTTATCGCCGAATACACTCCTCCGATCTCCTCGACTTTGTCTCTTGATATTTCTTGATGGGTAGGAATTATAGTAGGAGATGTTGTTGGTAAAAGCGTTGTCAAACAATGAATACCTGTGTCATTTTCAATAGGCATCAGTCACCCTTTAAACCAGTTAATCACATTATTTATGTTTATCTGAAGTGCGCACGCATCTGCGTCTCTCATTACTACTCGACATATTTTTACATTGTGAACGTATCATAACATTGGGGACTGAACTACACTTGGAATATCATTTACATAAAGTATAAAAAGTAGAGGACTTAAGAGAGAAACTTGAGGTGCTCCACTATGTACTGATTTCCAGTTCGAGCACATGGAATTTATTCTTATATTCCGTATTCAACCTACCAGAAAATCCTTAAGCCATATTAGGAGAGGTCCGGTAATGCCAAGATTTCCCAACTTCAATAGCAGTCTATTTGTTCACACCTTGTCAAATGCCTTACTGAAGTCTTTGTAGACAACATCCACTGAGTTTCCGTTGTCTAGTGCCTTTATTCAATGCTCCTTTTCTATAAAGGGGTTTGTTGTGCAAGATAAGCCCTTTCTAGATTAGTGTTGTTCGCTGTTTAACAAGTTGTTGGTTTCCACGAATGTCATCAGGTCTACATTTTTCCTACTGTTGGTTACCACTGTTTTCATATGTTTGAAAAAGAGAACATTGGGCAGACTTATCAGTTTTTTTAACTTAAAGCTTCAAACTCAATAAACGTTCCTCCGTTTAGACTGCAATTATGAATTCTGTAGCCAAAATACAATTGTCGTGCAACGGTAAATAAATCCCCAAAATAGTTCCGTAGGTCCACTACATTGATACTTACCTCTTCAGTTTTACGAGACACACCTAGCTGAAGGCATTCGGTCACGCATCTGGCCCATATCACTACTGTGCATCCGTTGCAACTGTCAGCCATCGACGGCTAAACACCTCCAGATACGTTGATGGACTCCCAAATATATCTTCAAACCACTGCATTTTCAACTTCTGTTCACAATGAGTTTACACGACTTGGTTATAAATATGTTATATGTGAAATCCTTGTCAAACTTCGAATACCTGTGGCATCTCTAAAGGTGAGACCGACATGATCTGTACACCATAAGCCAAATTCTGAGTGTGTAATATATCATTTTTCGATTTTTGTTCTTATATGTAGCGATATTGTTTCGATATTTTCGGATATTTATCCTTTATCTTATATTCGTCATGAAGGAAAATCACTCAAGCTATTTAAGATTTGGACTTTTTCCTCTCTCACTTTTCAACTCATGCTATTTTAGCTCGAAAATTTATAGGCCTGGCTTTGCTAAGCAGATACTGACTACGTCCAGCGTGACATGGCAGACAAATGTGAACAGTCATCGCAGTATTGGAGGTATACCACGCCTTAGGTACTTAATAATGATGATTCTGAATCCTACGACATTTAAAGAAATCTATAATCAGACGTGGGTTCGTAATCAACAAAACAGCGTAAGACCAAAATTTTCGCAACATAGAACTTCAACAGCGAAAAAATGTGGCTACGTATACGAAAGGCTGGTGTTTGACCGGCCTTAGATGAAGTCTTGTCACGACAACTCTTCTTGCCTCAGCTTCCTAAACACGTGCGATCAGTCCTTGTCTCTTTTCGAAATAACTCTGCAGACGAACAGACTGCATCCGACGATCAGACTCTTGAGAATCTCCAGCACCGATGTTAATATGTTAAAAAAGCCTCAATCAACACGAGATGACATCAAGAACTTCTGTCACACTCACACTCGTTATCTTAATATTCATCATAATCACAGACGCTCCAAACCGTCTTGAGGAAATACGTTACAGTGCTCAAAGTGTTTCTGATACACCTCAAATCCTTTTACAAACAGTTATTTATTTGTCTCATTGACTGGGGTTTCTGTGTATCGGTTTTTGACTGAAATTCACTGATGAAAGCTGATGAAAACCCACAATCTATCTACTACAGAGAAAAATGTATCAAACAACTTATTACTGTGCCGAAGATTACATCCACTTTGTTTTCAATGGAGTTCTACTCACAGGTTAGTTACCGACCCAAGATCGCTGAACCAGTAATACCACAAATACGTCGTTAATTTGCCCTGTCGATCTGCATTAGGTTTTCCAACACTGGATACACCTTCATACTAAGCCTGCATATTTTCGCAGAAGTTATCAGATTTTCAGATTTTTGGCCCCCATTAAATGACGCTAGTCTTATGAGTAAGGGCAGTGTGGTCACCGCATATCTACTGACATGACTCCACACACCGTGGAAGATATAACAGTCGCTGCAACACTTGTACGTGATGTTCATACGAGTTGCAGTAAGATGACTGTTGGAAACCATGGATAATCACGTTTGTGAATTCTTCTAAAATCCAGGCACACATGATATGTTTCGTCAAACTGAAGCGTGTCTGAGGGAATTGCTTGTTGTTAGTTTTATGGCGGTTAACAGAAACTGTTCATGGGGTTCTCAGACACATTTAGTAAAAGAGGTTTGTCTTGCAAAGCATTGTTTTCTAAATACAGATAACACAGGCCAACTAGTATGGTACTTGGTCACAGAAGTGAACTATGGTCCTGTCTTTGATTTATATCGTTTACGTTTTTGGAAATGTCCTAGTGGTACACGAATTAACGTGAGTTATTTATTCGAAAATACTCACCTAAGTAGTATTGATCGACTAGTTATCTGAAATTTAAACACTTAGTGTAGGTTTATATGTGCTAGGGAAAGCGAATGTGATTGGCCACTTGGCGTGAACGAACGAGTGCTCAGCTAACTGATTCTTAAACGCTTAATTTTTTCCTGAAATCGATTTTTATTTTAGTCTTAATGTGATGGACTGATTGAAATTGTGTGGAAAGATTTATTATCTAGAGTTTACCCTGGTTCCCTACTTTTAATTGTGGATCGAGTATCTAATATAACATGATCCATTCTATGAATCGCATTTCAATTAATTATCTAACCTAGCTGCAATATAAACCGGATTAGTCTAATTTGCAGGCTTTGTTTAAAACCTAGCTCAATGTTTTTCCGTGGATTTTTATAAGTAATCATCATATTTGCTGAAATCGTTAGAAATAAGCATTGAAGCTAGTGATCACATGGAAACTTTCGTTTGTAAAGCATACACGCTCATTTAAACATATTCGATGGTAAAACGCTGCACTCAGTTGTAGAATGACAGTACTGCCATTGCGATGAGTTACTGAGGAATATAAACCAGAACACTGGTTTTGTGCAGAAGGTTTTTGTTGCTCAAGATTTTTAACTATTAATGGTTGGGAAACACTGTGGTGTTTAAGTAAGCATTTGATGCGATTTCATTCTTGTCTGCAATACGCAGAGAAATGACGAATTAACGGGAAATAATGGGTCATTGATGAAGACAATTGAAGTTTTTGTTCATAGTCGTTTTTATGTTGTGAATTGGTATCTAACCAGTTAAATTCATACTCCACTGATTTAACTCACAGTCGATTTTGAAAAGGCTTATGTTTACCCTTTCTATATAGGCTATACTTCAGAAGCTGCATCATAAGTACAAAGATTCCGGGATCAGTTAGTAAGTTGTGGCAGCCTTTTATAAAATTTAGTATATCAGAGATCGTTTGAGACGTCTTTCTGAATCGCACGAAAGTTGCTCTATGTGTGGACACATGAACCAGACATCGTTTATATCTTAAATGGAACTGAAAGCGATTCCCTGTAAGTAGAGTTTAAAATCAACAGATTTTGTTGGGTTTTCTGTGTTCACAGTAGCAAAGTGCAGTGTATCCCGAAAGTCGAATAACACGAGTGATGGATTTTGCGAAACAGGCTTTCATTCAAAAAAAAATTCCTAAATTGTCTTTCGCAAATACTGTACGCTTTGCATCAAAATGTGGGCTGTATCAGCGTAAATTTTCAGGTTATTACATTAGCCATTTGTCTTTCTACTATTAGTATGGAAATATTACATATTTCGGTAACGAAATATTGTGTCTGCTTATAGAACACCGTTAAGAAAAGTTCGAATTCTACGTGAATTTTGACCTGAATGTAAACTAAGGTGGATTTATTTACATTGGCCACAGCCTTAAACTAAACCTAGCTATATACGAACACACTGAAAATTCTCAGGACTGTTCATAATTTGCGTTTTAGGTATAGCACCAGTCTGAACTTTTTCGTGTATATCGCATCTCAAGTATTTAAACAAGAAAGCTAACTGGATGAGTAATAACAAATTTTAGTAACATCTAGTCGAGATTATTACTTCACAAGAATGTGTCTTACTAACTCAATATGGTATTCTAGTTTACAATAGTTTCAGACATAGTGACTCGAGGAGATTTGAGGAAACCCAAAATGGTTTATTCACAACACTTACGTATCTGTAAGCTGTTTGTTAATAGTAATCGTTTAGGTAGCTGATTCAGTTCAACGTTTGGCTGATCATACGCTTTGAGCCGAAAAGCTATTTAGAATAAATTGTTTATGGAACTAAACATTTCTTTTTATATTTATTCTATTTATAGCAGTAAGACGAAGTAGATTACAATCACTAAGTGGTTCAGGCACTTATCACCTTACATTTTATTGAACATTCTCTCAAGCACTGTTTTCTAAATGAGGGATTTTAGAGATATTTATTGATGTTCAGCCAAACATCCATTAATAAACAGAAATGAGATACTACTGATTTTGATATAGCTTAATTTTAGTAGAAGTCTGTTATGTGTAAATCTGTAGTGGCATTGATTTGTATTCACATTATTTTTGAAGCCGAGCACATAATTACTGAGATGATTTATATTCAACATGTAACACGCTGGGGCCAAAAATGGTGAATTCGGAAACAAATGAATCGAGATAAAACGGCGGAACCATGCACTCACGTTCAACGTACATAATCTCTCGAATTCGGTATTGATTATATTTCAATACCCCAAAATCAAATGAGTTCTTAAGACGTATTAGAAGTCGTGTTCCTAATTGTCGAGATAAGACGGGTTGCTAAGTAACATGATATGTAGGTGGTTGGTTGTTTGTTTGGCCAGACTAGTAGATAATCTGAAAGTGTTGGATGAGTTATACACCCACCTACCCTCATTATTACTGTCTCTTGTCGGATTTTGCTGTGGGAATATACTTACGTTTCAGTCAGGCCAGTCACGTATTCTTGATCCAAAGTATACTGAAGTGCTTTAGGACAGATATTGCAAAGGTATTTAGTGTAGATATTCGTATGAGGCAAGTTTACTTCGAACTCGTTTGTGTGGGCATGCGGAGCCATATATCACTTATTTTTCCACGTCAGGACAAATCTTTACTTTTAGAATTAGGCCTACTTCTAGGTAGCAAATTTAAGCATACTAATAACGAACTATACCATGCTTCTTAATATATATGATACACATTTCTGTGTTCAATGAAGCCTACATCCATTATTTGCTTCATTTCTGTAGATCACAACAATTTTCTAGCGCTGCTGTTACATTCGTGAGACGCGAATACTTTGCTTCATAATCATTATGGATTTCAGACAGAATCGGTGATTGCATTCCACCGATGCATTTTAAAACGTTTCTTTTTTCATGGTGATTTCAGAATATTAAATAAAAAAGATTTTGTCAGCGAAAAGTACTCTTTTCGGCGATTTCATTTTCGAAGCTGTACAATCGCAAATATATATACTTATTTTTACAGGATGATAATAATACTGATAAAAAACTTATTATTTAACCTAACTATCACCATGTTTAACAAGTTTATTATCAGCATTATTATCATCCTGTAGAAATAAGTATATATATTTGCGATTGTACAGCTTCGGAAATGAATTTGCCGAAAATAGAACAAATCTTTCTTGTTTAATGTCTTAATGGGTGTATTCCGTTTATTAAAAGATTTCAGAATAGTTAATTCGATTGAATCTTCTAACAATGAAAGCTACATATATATAGCAGTCCAACAAAACATTACCAAGCAATGCGAATGAACGGCGTAATGGTATCTGAAAACGCACAGACTGTTTTAATATATAGGTAGGAGAAGGAAGGAATCCATCAGGGCTCGAATGAACGCTTTCAAGCCACCAACTTCTAACTGAATACCAGATTTACACCTCTTTGCAACTGAATAAGAATTACATTGATATTGAGACTTAGAATCATCAGCAGTTGTATTAGGACAGAAGCAACACTGGCAATAGAATATCCAGCAATGTTATTGTGATAGAATAAATCAAGGATTGCATTAGGCTGATCTAATCTTCATTGTATTGAGACGAACACAAACTGTCCGGAATGTCAAACAATCAGCGTGTCTCGTGTTTACGGATTAATAAAATAATCGAATAGGATCAACAGATAAACAAGTGAATAAAGAGAGAAAGATAGACGAAAGAAAACTAGAAGGATTCAAGTGCGAGTCACTCGAATTAATCACACAACCTAGAGCAGAATAACCGATAGAATTGAACTAGTGGATTGAGTCACATGCTGGTTTGGATATCGTATTCCGAAATTACCACATGATTATGTTCATTTAGCATGTTTGTATGAAATAAAATATTGAGGCGTTGCACAGGACAGTTAGTTCGGGCAGAAAGAAGGACTTGACACAAACGAAAGCTCTGGTTGAGATAGTTTGACGAAATGAGAGGACGGTCTTCCTAGCTGAGTTCACCAACACACGTTAAGCTAGCTACAAATACCTGTATGAGGTCACAGATCAACATAAACGTTCTAACCCTCAGCCTTGTGCTATATAAGAAACTAGTGTCGAAGAACTTACCAGCCCTGAAATTTCAGATACTTTAAATGTCCGATTCGCTACATAACTAGACGAATCAATTATCCAATATAAACGCTCCACCACCCAAAGTCCGAATGAAGGCTTGAGATATTTTGGAATAACTCCTGAGATAGTATCAACCAAAAGGAAGTTCATGAAGCCAGTTGAACAATCAGTCTGTAATAATATCTGCGACAAAGTTACAAAGTTTTGGTCATTACAATTTAACTGGGTTTATATGAATGGTGTATAGGCCTTGTTGAAACAGTCGCATAGTGCACGACATACGTCCGTGACTATGGATTACTAACAATTGTGATTGGTTATCTCCATACAGTTCTCTGATTCCACATGCCTTCTTCGTCTTCTTATATGTGCATGAAAGTAGTCGTCTAGTCCCAAAACCAACCTAAGGGGTAACACCCAGAAATTAGAGACGCAACAAAACAGAACGGACTGTAGATACAACTTCTACTCCTTAAGAGTTGTCAAATGCTGGAATTCGCTGCCGGTTGAGCTAATCCAAGCGACTTCTCAGGAGTCCTCTAAGAGGCAACTTGACCTATTCTTAAGGTCTAAGGATAATATCATACTATGACTTATCGATTTCTTTTTCCTCTTTTATCGTTAACATACTTAGGTTCCTGTCTGGAGTTATTCGTGATCCCATGCTACTAGACACGGAAGCCTGTTAAGCGAAGGCTTCTTCTGTACCGTCCACAACCATTTTAACCATTTGGTGAACAGTCGCGATTACGTTGTATCATAGGAGATTCATTCTGTATCGTGTATCATTACGATGGCATCATTTCCTCTACTTGAATGTTGGGGGTTATCAGAAATGGTGTGGATGGACTCAAACAAACTTAATAAGTGTCTTGACTAGACAGCTTCTGCAAGACCTCACGATTTTTCGAAGTGACCCATGAGTTGTTTTGCATCACTTCAACCTTCCAGCTCTCAGTAACCTTCATCGGTAAACTATGCTACTAAATCGTCTTCTAGTTTCGATCTGAAGCTTGTGCTACTGATGGTTTTTGTCACAACTGATTGATCACTGGGTGGTGATCAGTGGTTGTTTTCTATTGCTCTTCTTAGTAAGTGTACATGCATTGTGTGCGACTACTGGGTCTTCGACCAACGTTCCGATTCGATGTCATTCACAGTCCTCACGACACTCCGCATGCTGTCCTGATACATTAAGTGCCTTCCGGCTATACGTGATTCAAGCAGCGTGTCCTTGTTTCAAATATGAAGCAGATATGCTAGAAAGAGTCCAAAGACGAGCTACTAAAATGGTACAAGGTCTATCTGGCCTATCTTATGAAGACAGACTGAGACACCTTAACTTATTTCCGTTATCTTACCGTAGAATAAGGGGTGATCTAATATTGGCCTATCTTATACTGAAAGATGACCTTGGTATTAACATGTCTTATCTTTTGCTCCCGTCTAGAACCGATCATTTGAGAGGACATTCGAAGAAAGTTCAAAAACCGAGATCAGACCGTTTACGTCTGGAGTTCCGTTTCTCGCACCGAGTAGTGAATTACTGGAATTCTATACCGGAACACGTAATATCAACACCATCTGTTAATATATTCAAAACGAGATTGGACCTCCACTGTATTACAAACTGCAAGGATTAATATAGGTCGACAGACCTCCTATCATTATTACTGAAGACTGAAGACGTAAACGCCTGCAAAGGTCATCAGTAGCGCTGTATTCAAAAAAGTGAGATCACCTGGTTACTTGATTAATCCGCATCAAGCTAGGTAATCACATTTTCAAATCTTAGATTGTGTGTCCTCGTTGTAGTGTTAAAAAGACGGTTGCCATCTTGTCACAGTTAACTCTGTTTAAATTTAACTGTAACAAATATGGTGGATTGAGACTGATGGTTGTGCTGGACAGTTGATTTTGGTAGAATTTGATTATTTATGTCAGGGCTTATTGTTGTGAATTTGGAGAATGCCAAGCTCCCAATTTTGGGGAAGCCGCTATAGTAAACTTTGGGGAAATGGCACAAAAACCCAAAATTTCCTCAAACTCTGGGGATTTTCCCTAACATTCCTCCAAAGTCTGGGAGCTTGGGTGTTGTTTTTGCTTCAGTCATAGCGTGGAAATCGACAGGAATGTGATATTAATGCACTTCATTGGTGGGAGACTTAGATGAATCGATCAAATATGAACAACAAATTGTTGCGACCAATAGGCCCTTATACTTAGTCGTATTTTTATCGTAGTTGCCGATTTAGTTAGGCGAATAGAATCCCTAGGTTCATGTTGATTAATATTCTCTTGTCCACTACAGATTGATGGAACTTCGTTTTTTACTGAACGATCAGTGCATTTTGTAGGCGAAAATGCCACTAGGTTGGTGGTCATACTTGTTAATTCTCCATTTATGTCGTTGGTTACTGTTTTATCGTCTATGTTTGAGACTGTCATTGTGTCGCTGCAATGGACTAAAAGTAAAATGCATGCATTAAGATTAGATCCGTTGAAGTTCGGTTTCCTAAACCAGAAAACGAAGTTTAAGTATGTCTCTTAAACGGGTATCAGGACTAAATCCGGAGTCCCAAGAGCTTTTTGGACGGGAACGTAGGTGTTTGGAATTCCATTTGAACTATTGAAGCAAATAAGCCAGGGACTAATCTTTGATTCTTGGTTTTATCGCAAGTATTGATATAGATATGTGACAAATTTCTGAAAGTGAGTTGATGTTTAGTTCAACCTGTCTTCGAGAGACTCAATTATTGGGTTACGTTTTTTAATCTACAGTGATTTTATTTGTGGTGTGATCAAGGGAAAGTGAAAAGTACTGAGTGCTAGTGAAACAACACCAAATCACTTTAATTATTTTCAACAGTGTGGTTAAAGGTAGGTTGGTAAAGTGATGCGGGGACTTAGTCAACAATGAAGCTCAGTAATCATTTTTTAGACTTTTTACTCAACACTTCTGCATTTACATAGTTGTTCCTCAGAGCCTATTTCGTAGAACCGTTATCTCACCATATTTGTTCATCTTTTTACTTTAGGTGCAAAGAACAATCATCAATGCTCATGGACTTTTATCAAAAACCTATATTTCACAAACTAAAGTCTTGTAGGTTTCTTTTTCGGGAAATAAAATATAAAAATATTCCACTTCATTGTTTTCTTTATGTTTCTTATTATTTACAAACTCAATGTTTTTTTGACATGGGCTTTTCACATTATCTTAGCAAAACAAATGTTTTATTTGATTATATGTTGCTCAGTGTGTTCATTTAATCAAACTAAAAAATTTCGGATTTTGTCTGGTAATTTCAAAGTCGTGACTTTGAATGCCGCCCGATCTATCTCAGTCTGCAAATTCACACTTATTCTACTATATATCACATTTCAATCACACAATTCTTAATTTCAATACTACCCTGTCAAAGAAATTTTAAATCGAATTTTAAAACCCACGTTAAATATTGCGTCTAGTAATTATTCATTGTATACTTGTTCAAGCACTACTTTCCATTTGATATGCTTGACATAATAACTAGAGTAGGCTTCTAGAAATTTCTATAATAAAATCTGATTGTTTTGATCTGTAGCCCTATCTTAATAGATATAACTAAATAATAATGATAATTTTTAGTAAGACTAAAATTGATTTATTATTTATTTATTTGAACACAAATATTGGTACAAGGGGGCATCAAATATATATGCGCCACACAAAACAATCAGTAGTTGAAGAGAAGGAAAAAAAGGTAAGGAAGAAGTAATTTAGCTAGTCTTCTTTATTTCAAACTTCTCTTATTAGTTCAGGAATTTTCATGGATTAGACAAAACGGTTCTGGTTTGTAATTGTCTATAAATATCAATAATTAAAGTTCAAGTTAGTTTATTGCATACGATACATTATATTTGGTCCGTTTATGTATAAATAAACTAGATATACTTGTCGTCCGGTTTCAAAATCTTTAATTCTATGTTATTCTTAACATATGAGCAGAGCTCTGAAAATGATGATCAGATGTCTGCCATCTTTAAATTTTACCTGACATCATCTTTCTCATGGGTAGTATATTACTCCCATGACATAGGTGTTTATGAATTATTAGTAGTACATTGGTCGTAATGTTGACATTAACAACCCAGCTTCTTTTACCGATGTGACTGCCGTATATTAAATTCTCAGGACTAATGCAACTATCCAGATAATATTAAAAAAGAATATATTTGTAAAATCTCAGCGAATGAATTTTAAGTAAATCTAACGTTTCGCCTGGCAATCTGGTCCAAGCTTTTTCAAGGAACTCGGCGCCCAAATATTGTGAAACTATTCGTTTAAATTTAGACGAAAGTTCTTATCCAGATAATAGGTTTTTTATACATCAACGAGCTTATCAAAGTAAGTCTCTTTGATTGAAGTTGATTTACATTGCTTGTTGTTATCAACATGAGAACCACTGAAAACCAGGGGTCGTTAAACATATATTTGTTTTTCGCATAAAACTGTGATTGTATTTTGTGGATATTTCAGCTCATATGCACCAACTGGAGGGAGTATCAAGGTGCTTATTAGTTGCACCAGTATAAATTTACTCTAACACAATAATATATAAGTCCACACTTTTCGATCAAGACTGATTTCTTTTTTCCCTTATGATTGGCATCTTGAATGCTTGACTAACGCTTTTTTAGTAACCTAACTATTACCAACTGTACAATTTCTGATTTATTACCTGCTAGCATTTCAATCTTGAAACTGCCTTTTCTAACAAAATCTAGCTGGATGGGACTATATCAAATGGTATGCAGATTCAGCAAAGTTAGTTCCTGGTTGTACAAATCCTTTGATTCTAGCAGCACAACAATGTTCAAACATGGACGTAATCAAATTAAAAGTGGCTGTTGTCCTAATGATACCTTTAATAGATTTTTCCAATAAAACACTTGATTTCTTAAGTCTACACAGTATGATAGAAACTGTTGAACAAAATCGTGATGGCTTTTTAAAGGAAGTTTCTCATGAATACAGATCGTTTTCGAATTTCGATATTTATGATTCTAAAACGACCTCGTTCAGGTAAGATAATATATTTTAGCAACTTATGAATCTTTAAAATTAGTTGGGTTTAGTACTCAGCACAGGCTTTTGGTGTGCTTTCTAACTATAGATTTATTTCACTGTACAACTAGTATTATGATATGATGTTAAGTGTTGGTTCATTTGAATAGTTCAGCTAATTTACGGCTTTTTTTCATAGTTGTTAAAACACCTTAATTTTTGAGCTTCAGTATTATATAGCAGTGATTAATGCTAAAAAAGGAGAATATTAAGAGCGGTCATATAAATAAACAACAAAGATGGAATAACTTAGTTGATAATAACAAAGCTAGGGAATTGTATTTCTTTCACAGCATCGAACATCCTGTATAATATTATAATTTCACTGGTAATGAATAAATCTAATCAGGTTTCACTGCTTTATTGTTGCACTTCTGTATCCTTTTTCAAAACTATCCTAAATAAAATTATGGGGTGAAATGTTAATAAGACTTATGAGTAGTAATCCTAAATGTTTGTATTCCTGTTTGCACCAATATGGTCCAGAAGATTATACTCCAAATATATTGATGTTGAACTTCACTTACTAGATATTCACTATTAATCTGTCCTAGTTAGCACTAAGTTTATTGTGTAATTTAATAAATATTACTTTTTCAACATGTACAGGTTTGTACACTCGGCTTTAAGTCACTATTTATTTAAAGAATAATAATACAACACAGCCCCTAAATGGGAGAACATAAAGCAGAACTGTGATCTAGTTGAAGTTTAAGTGCTGAAACTTCTAAACCATCACATCCTAACATTCTCGTTGTATGCCAGTTTCTAATATAATCACACGAACAAATGGTATGTTAATATATCCAGATTGTACCAGTTTCTCAATTATGATGTCTCCATGATTTATCCTAGCTTCTCAATAAAATTGTTATTTCAATCTTTTCAGTTATTCTGAAAGCTCATACTTAATCTTATCAAATATTCACGTGCTAACAATGACCATTTATTTATTTATTTGAATACACAAGTATTGGTACGAAGGATCACCGAGTACATATGCGCCACACAAGTCACTTGATTTGTGTGTGGGCTGTCATACTCCCCGGGTGCCCAAACCGAAGCAGGTTTTTTCCTTAGAAAACCACTCTCCGAGCCTTTGGCCCAGAGGTCTAGTTCATAAGGCAGTGGAGCAACGAAAGGAGATGCAGTCCCATGGTAGCCGGTGATTAACGATTGTTTCATACGCCATTTGTGTACTCAGGATCCTGGAGCCCATGTGCACTAATGATTTGGAATCAAGGTTTCCCAACTTCCCTAGGTAGATCCTCCATATCCACCAACCCGGTTAAAGACATTCGTTTTTTGTCCTCTTAATTTTGTAAACAACACGCGCCACGAGAAGGCAGTGAGTAGGACATTCCTGTCATGGCTGTATACGCGTGGCTATTTGAGAGCATTTCGAAGAGAGCTGACTCTCGTTCGTACTAGGGCATTGGGTGGCTTTTCCTTCGCTTACATAACTGTCTGCTCACAACTGAATGTGTAAAATAAACTTATCCTCATTATATCTCTTGTTCTGCTTTCTTGATTTGACGTTCTAACGTTATGTGCCGATGGACTGTTAAGAAAGTAAGTATGGGACAAATGAAAACTAAGCTGAAGTTAAATACGTGTACTAAAAGATAGCCATCCAGCAGTATAATAACCAAAAAATTATGTCGTATTAACCAGTAAAATGTTATCGGATGAAAATAACATCTGACAAACTAACTCATTAAATTAGTACACACTAATATACCTCGACTTGCACCACATCATTTATAAGATCTATCTGGTTTTCCGAAGTAAAGATATGACTTCAAATGATTTGAAAACATATGTGTCGTTCTAATATTCTATTTTACATGTTTCTGTTGTATTTAAAGTGTAAAGTTAGGTTGTTATGAAAACGATGGAATGTTTATGCTAATTAATGCTTCCTCTGGTCTTTCATCCGATCTTAGTTGAAATCGATGGATTAGGTGAGTATCGCACAAATATTATAAATTATGTGTTGTATATTTCTTTTCCATTTCTTTCTCACTGTCCAAAGTTAAATGTATTTTGTTTTTTGGCTTCCTCATCATCCTGTCTCAAAGTTTATTGTGAATGTATATTATGAAAGGGTTTTTATGTAAAATCGACTTGTATCAGTCAGTCAGTCAGTAACAAAGTAGAACTTCGTACGTACGTACATCAGTTCGAGTTGCCACACCACATTAGCACAGAGATACCGTGGTCGATTCAAATCCCGTAGTGGTGGAGGTAATAAGAGTATAAGCAGTAATCGGGAAGATTAGTATTTGGAGATGTTACTTAAAGAGTATAATACAGTGAAATAAACCTGGGAAGAGAAAAAAAGAGACAAGGGGGAATCAGGAGATCAAATTTTGGGAGAACACAAAGAGTGGATGCACCTGCACCATTGCAAACGATTTTGAGCCATGTCATTCAAGGTCTCTAACCATCGGTTGCTATCATCTCGCGGTCCCCAACCAAGTAGTCTACACCTACCAACATGACTCAGTCCACTTGTCAATGACTTCATGGACTTGTGCCATGTTTTGGTCTGGCCACCCCTAGCTTTCTTCCAATCTACTCCTAGACCACTGAACATGGCACGTCGAGGCAGTCGGTCGTTGGGCACACGTGTCCCAGCCATCTCAAGTGATGAAGTTTCACTACTTCATCAATTGATTTGCCATCCTTACCTAGTACCCGTTTCCTAACAACTGTGTTACTTACTCGATGGTCCCAGGATATACGAGCAATATTTCGAAGACACCTATGATCGAATACTAGTAGTCTACGAATATCCTCTACTCTTACCGGCCATGTTTCACTTCCATAAAGCAGGACTGAAAGAACAGCTGCGCAGTAAACCCGTCCTTTGGTTGATAGACGGATATCTCGCCTATGCCATAAATGACGCAAGTTAGCAAAAGCTAGTCGAGCCTTCTGTATCCGTACTGAGATTTCGTCACATATCAGACCACAAGGGCTGATGAGACTTCCAAGATAAATGAAGCGGTCGACACACTCAACTACTTCACTTCCTATCACTAGTTCGGGTGTCGATGCAACCCAATCCTGAAGCAACATTTTGCATTTCGAGGGGAGAATCGCATGCCGAACATGCTTGCATTGTTGCTTAGAGTGGTCAGAAGACTGCATTTTGTCAGCGTCTTCGCCAAATAAAACTATGTCATCGGCATATTCTAAGTCAACAAGTGAACCTCTCGGTAGAAGTTCAACCCCTGGAAATCTAGACGAGGAAAGTGTTATCTCTAAAAGTACGTCGACGCTAAAGTTGAACAAGAATGGAGAGAGTGGACAGCTCTGACAAACACCACTTGAGGTAATCAATTCTGATGACAGTTCGCCATAAGCTCTCACTCGACGAGTTGTGTTCGAGTAGAGAGCCTGAATAAGGTTAATGTACTTCTTTGGTACTCCTTTCAGTGACAAACACTGCCATAGAACCTTACGATCAACAGAGTCGAATGCCGCCTTAAGGTCGAGAAATACTACGATTGTGGGGCGTCTAAACGTGTGTCTGTGTTCTAGAACCTGACGTAGTGTGAATATTTGGTCTATACAACCACGTCCAGGTCGAAAACCAGCCTGATTTTCTCTAGTCTGCTCTTCACGAGCTTTGGTTAGACGTCGAAGTATTATTGAAGCTAATATTTTAGACACTATATTAGTCAAACTGATTCCTCTGTGATTGTCACAAGAGGACTTTTGTCCTTTCTTATAGACTGGCACAATCAGTGATTGAGACCAGTCAAATGGAATTACGTCCAGTTCCCAAATTCTACCTAAGACCTCAGTTAATCTCACTGCTAATACTGAACCACCATCCTTAAAAATCTCAGGAGTAAACCTGTCAGGGTCTGCTGCTCTCCCTCGCTTCAGATTTCCTATGGCCTTTTCAACTTCGTAAAGAGTCGGCGGACCTACATTAACTTGCCACTCAGATTGACTGGAGATTGTGGGAAATTGAAGTGTGGCCGAAGGCCAGTTGAACTGATCCCTGAAGTGTTCTGCCCATCAATCCAATCTCCTGGGTTGAGAGTGTATAATATGTCCATCTTTATCTGAGAGTGTTTCGCTAACAGTCGGTTTCCTAATACCCGTTTCCTTAAAAAGTCTGAACAATTGTCTGCTATTACCTATTGTCGCTGCCTTTTCCATTTCTCTTGCTTTCGCTACCCACCACTGTTCACGATCATTGCGTAGACTTCTTGTCAGCTTGCGCTTAAGCTGACTCCGCTCTTCATTATGTTCAGAGCCGTGTGGAATGAGTTTCCGAGCATCTATCAGTGCGATAGATGCTGCTGAGATCCAGTGTCGTTCCCTAACCTTACGGGTTAGCGTACTAGCAGATATCACTGCTGTTTCCACAGCTTTACGGATATCATCCCATGCTGCCTCGTGGTGGGCATCACATACATGGCTGCCTAACTGTTTTCCTAGTTGTTCCTGAAATATACTCTTAGCTTGACTATCATTAAGTAGGGCCCTAAGAGGTTTCCTTGCAGCGTCTTTCCTACGTCCAGTAAGACGCAGACAGATACGCGCTCGTACTAGAGCGTGATCTGATTCTAAGCATGTGCTCCAGAATGAGCGACAGTTTTCTATCGAGCTCCTCCATCGGTGGCTGATAGCGATGTGATATATTTGGGTCCAACGTTGGGACGAATTAGGGGGTCGCCATGTTAAAAGATGTTTTCCTTATGCTTAAAGTTAGTATTTGGAAGAAAGAGGCGATTATCTGAGCATAGCTGCAACAGACGGTCGCCATTATCTGTTCTTTGAGCCATGATGCTATAAGATCCACCCAGGTGTCTTTCCCTATCGCTTAGTTTACCTACGTGAGAATTAAAGTCACCGGCCATTATTACTACATCAGAGCGCCTAGCTTTTCGGAGAAGGTCGGAGAGCTTTCTGTAAAACTCATCTTTTACATCATCTGCGCTGCAGTCAGTGGGAGAATAGGCGGAGACGATGAAGAGGCAACGACAAGTGTTCCTATCTTTTCGGATCCTTACTGTTCCGTTTAGTCGGACAGCGCACAAACGACTGTCTACTGTGATCCACTCTAAGAGAGCTAGTTCTGCCCTAGGATTCAATGATATACCTACGCCGGCGAGGCCACGGGAAGCAGAATCGGGGCTTCCAGATACACGAAGTGTGAATCGAGTTGGTTCTTTATTTTGGCATGGTGAGGTCAGATGAATGACGCTACTCGGATCCTGTATGCGCGTTTCGGAGACGCAGCACACATCGATGGCGCGGGATTCTAAAGTCCTGGCTAAGGAAGCCTGTTGTCCTATTTGGCACAGTGTTCGGACGTTAAAAGCTCCAACGTGTAGTTTAGAGCGTGGTTTGAGGAGACCAGGAATAGCGTTCCACGTACTCGAATCGTTTGCCCTAGCGGTGCGAGGTGATAAAGAGACGTGAGGAGGGTTAGTCATGGAGATAAGAGAGGTATTAGAAGGTGTAGGAAGGATTTGAATGTGACCAACTTGGTCTCGCGTGCGGTTACGGGTATGAGGGCTGATGTCACTTCCCGACTGCCCACACCGTGGAAGGGTATTTCTTGAGGAACCTGAAAAGGAAATTGGATTAGTGTTGGTCTTAACGACCTGGGAGCGTGACCGCAGAGCCCAAGAGACAACTGCTTGAGGCCGGTCGCGCACGGCCTTTTTGTAGAAGGTTTTTGACGTGTTAGCTCCGTTCTTCAGATGGCCTTACCGCCGGAGACGGAAATCCGTGAGGTAAGGTGAGGTGTGACATTTTTAGGGTCGACCTTTTCTAACCCCACCCCTCCTTGTGGGAAGGCAACATCGCTGCAGATGCTGGTTGTCCGAGGGAAACAGCTTACTGCTGTCACACCTCTGTACAGTCAGCAGTACGACTTCGCCCTCAGACCTTGAGTTGCTGCTTTTATTCTTACCGTTCTCCAATCGACCTTCCTGGCATGGTAGAACCAACAGGAACATATGTTCCAGCCAATATAGCTCGGTTGGGTCATCATGATAGGCAAGCTGGACCACCGCGTCAAGGTAGCAGCTTCGGTCGGGACCGACTTGTATGTCCTACAGTTTAGTGGAAAAATTGTAGTCCGATATTGATATAATATTTATTATTCACCTAATATCATTGAACACAATATAATGTTTCTAGACTATATTCGTGGGTTCTTATTGATATGTAAGGGAACGTTGTATTGTCTCGAGTTTTTCAACAGACACTAAACTTTATTCCTTGGATCTAGTCAGTATCACGATTCCGTCATGAATTGTTTATAAGTAGTACTGAAATATTTGATTTTTATAGAGTTGGGATAAGCTTTTTTTAACATTTTCTCTGTACGAGATGACTGATTAGAATTGTTTCAATCAACGTACATTCTTCAGGTTTCTCATCGACATTTGTGTATTGGTCTATTACATATGACTTTATTCCCCATTTTTGTTTAACTTCATCATAGATCTACTGATCGAAATAACTTTCTCGTCGACTGAATCTTCGGGTATTGATCTCCATCCAGGAGGTCCACTTATCGACTTAGAATACGCAGATGACATAGTCTTGTTTGGTGAAGACGCTGACAAAATGCAGAGTCTTTTGGTAGCACTAAGCAACAATGCCAGGATGTTTAGAATGCGCTTCTCTCCCTCGAAATGCAAGTTGTTGCTTCAGGACTGGCGTGCGTCAACACCTGAACTAAGGATAGGCAGTGAAGTAGTCGAACGCGTTGACAACTTCACTTATCTTGGAAGTCTGATCAGCCCCAATGGGTTGGTATCGGACGAAATCTCAGCACGGTTTCGAAAAGCTCGTTTGGCTTTTGCCAACTTACGTCACCTGTGGCGAAGGCGAGATATCCGTCTATCAATAAAAGGACGAGTATACTGCGCGGCAGTCTGTTCTGTCTTACTTTACGGTAGCGAAACATGGCCATTAAGAGTAGAAGACACTTGTAAGCTACTAGTATTTGACCACAGATGCCATAGAAGTATTACTGGCGTCTGCTGGGATAACCGGGTAAGTAATAGTGAGGTTAGACGCAAGGTATTAGGAAATGATGGTAAATCAGTTGATGAGGTTATGAATCTTGATCGACTAAGATGGTTGGGCCACGTGTTACGTATGCCTGAACACCGATTACTACGTCGTGCAATGCTAACGGGTGTTAGAGATGGTTGGAAGAGAATTAGGGGCGGCCAAATCAAAACGTGGCATCAGTGCTTGAAGTCACTAACTTCTAGTCTGAGCCATGTTGGTAGATGCAGACTACTTGGTTGGGGTCCGCGTGACTTTCGTAACCGATGGTTGGAGACTCTTGGTGACATGGCTCAGAATCGATCACAATGGCGTCGGTGTATACACTCCCTGTCTTCCCTTAAACTAAGAGATTAAAATCACTTCATATCTTTCTTTCTACGAACCAATTCTTTCTTCTTGTACTATATCTCTATATACAATCTTTCTCTTATATATTACCACCTTTTACCTAACCACTGTTATGAATCTGGTGTTCATCTTGTTGTGCTGATGCGGTATGGCAACCTGGACCGATGCACATATGTGCCTGGTCCTACGTTGTAGCTGACTGACTGACTGACTGACTTTATTCTATAGTGAACGAACCTTACTTAATTGGACTTCCTTAATGAGATCGTAAGACAAAGGGTAAGCGTTTTAAGTTAATACTAACTATTCTATCATATCTCCAACGATCAAATCTCACTGCTCATGTAATACATCGACTAATTATGTTACGTATACTTAGAAATATATAACTGTCGTGATCTTGTCCATTTTTTTTCTTACAAACACAATTTGCTAAATAAACAAATGTAACTTTAATAATTGAGATCATGAGTTAATTGAAGCTAGACCACCATGGAAAACCTGGAAGCACTGGTTGGCCGTTTCATCCTATTGTGTGACTTCTCAGCAGTGCTCATTCGCGATCCCGCCTCACGATATTCGAACCCACGATCTATCGGTATCGCGCGCAAATGCCTAACCACTAGACCACTGTGCCGGCCTCCAATAGTGTTAATGTCTAACTTCAACTAATCCACAAAATTGAGCGAAACATCCACCATTGTCTTTTGTGAGTTACTATCTCACAATAGACCCGGTTGAACTCCACTGGTCACTGCTTCTCACTAGAACTCCAGGAAATACCTCTTGAAGCCAGTCACTAGTGAGCATATGTTGAGCAGTATCATGTTTTTCTTGTGGATATTATAGTAATTTTTATAGTTGAGATCATGAGTCAATTGGACAAAACGGCCAACCAGTGCTTCCAGGTTTTCCATGGTGGTCTAGCTTCATTTGACTCATGAACTCAACTAATAAAATTAGTATAATATCCACAAAAAAACGCCTTCTGATATTAAACAAATGTAAGTTGTACAATAAAAATCACTAGATAATTTACCGAGTAAAAAATCGCCTAATGTCTTACACTTTTATATATTTTTGAATTTCCTCTGTTCAATTTTGATTTTATATTTGTGCGAAAAGTATGAGTATAAATTCTCATTATTATCAAGATGCGATGCATTTGAATGAGCAACAAAGATCCTTTCATTCTAAACTCTTTAGATGGAAGAATATAATGATCATGCCGTTAAGTAGTCATACGCAGGTTTGTATAATCAACTTTCGGGCTCTTGTTTCGTTAATTTTGTATGAAGATATGTAATATTAATCGGTTCTTCAGTTGATGTTAGTCGGTAATGAAAATGATCATCAACACATGAACTAAGGACAGGCAGTGAAGTAGTCGGAAGCATCGATAATTTCACTTATCTTGGAAGCCTGATCAACCCTAATGGGTTGGTGTCTGACAAAATCTGTACGCAGATTCAAAAAGCTCGTTTGGCTTTTGTTAACTTACGTCATCTATGGCGAAGGCGAGATATCCGTCTATCAATAAAAGGACGAGTATACTGCGCGGCAGTCCGTTCTGTTTTAATTTACGGTTGCGAAAAGTGGCCATTAATAGTAGAAGATATTCGTGCGTTACTAGTATTCGACCACAGATGCTTTAGAAATATTGCTGGCATCTTCTAGGATCACTGGGTATGTAATAGTGAGGTTAGACGTAGGGTATTAGGGAATGATGGTAAATTAGTTGATGAAGTTATCAATCTACATCGACTGAGATGTTTGGGCCACGTGTTACGTATGCCTGAACACCGATTACCACGACTTGCAATGCTGGCTAGTGTTGGGGATGGTTGGAAGAAAGTTAGGGGTGGCCAAACCAAAACTTGGCATCGCTGCTTAAAGTCACTAAATTTAATTATTAGTCATGTTGGTAGATGCGGACTACTTGGTTGGGGTCCATGTGACTATCGTAACCAATGGTTGGAGACTCTTGGTGACATGGCTCATAATCGATCACAATGGTGTAGGTGTTTACACTCTCTGTCTTCCCTTAAACTAAGAGATTAAAATCGCTTCATATCTTTCTTTCTGCTAACTAATTCTTTCTTCCTGTACTATATACTTATACACAATCTTTCATATATTACCACTGTAGTGAACAAGAACACAGGTGGGGACAAACGGATGTATTTAGCATAACAATTACAGACTATCTCAACAAAATCCGAATACCATATAGTTAATCGTCAATTTGCAAAATATTCATGCATCAAATCAAACTGGGCTGTTACTGTTGCAAACACCACTCCATTGTCTCCCATCCCATTGTTCATGCATTTTCTTACAAATTCCATTGTGTTCTCGATCTACCTTTCTTGATCTTCGCCATCTTCTGCTGCCAGACATTACGTTCTTTTAACACACGTTATATACTACTTATATCAATATAAGTAGCTCACACCACACCACCATTGACTTAACCACTCCTTTGAATCCGGTGTTCATCTTGTTGTGCTAATGATGTATGGAAACTTGGACCGATGGATATATGTGCTTGGTCCTACGTTGTAGCTAACTGTCTGTCTCAAAATGTGTACAAATACATATAACAACTTCAAGAAGTCTGCTGATCATCACTTTACATATTAAACTGATCAGTGCTGATGTGTCTATGAACGCTTGTAATCTATTGCATACCTAATTTTTAATTTGTTTATTACAGTTGGAATTGTCTAGTTTCATTGCAACAATGCAGACATTCGAATATATCTATGTTTGGGAACGTAAATCATATCATATTTATTGTTAATTCGCCTACATGTTGGGTTTTATGTTGTTTGTATCATTGGTTGTTAAAACAAAAAAAAATAGTTACAAATATTATTCATAATTTGGTATGCAAAAACTGTGAAACAAAAACACAATTTTCAAAATGACTGCTTTCTCTTTTTTTTTTACATATTTTGAATCTTCTACACACTTTTAATTAAAAAAAATTTTGCATAAAATTATTTTGATTGAAACATTGTTTTAACGATGATTGTACATCAGAATTTTCTAACATTGATTATACATAGTTTATATTTGTATATAAATCTACTTGTCAATTAATTTATTGTCTTTTATCTTTTTTTATATTTGTGATTTATTGTCTACCTCGACCAGACTGCTTTCATTTTTTTGTTTCACCACTATGCGGCTTTGCTATAACTGTGAGATGGCAGCAGATTAGAGGGTAGCGAATTATCGATCGGACCAAAGACGCACAAACACGTAGAACGACCTAGGGTTCTGATTGGTCCCGCTTCCCTATCTAGCCCAGCAGTTGAGTTCAGAACGCAAGTCTCAGCCTCGGATATATGAATCATTATATTTCAAACATACTTGTTTATATACCAGTCAAGCAGACCACAACGTACCATAAAATAGAAAATAACATTGTACAATATTGACCAGTAGGAAAATAACACGTGAAATATGTACTGACCAATAAGAAAATCATACCATGTCCAAGTCCAAGAATAGCATTAGACTTAATAGGATAATTTCTGGAATATTTTCCTGAATATTCCAACAGGCTTAGAGTAAAAATATTGGAGTATAAGTATTGTTTAAATAAGACTATGTCATTTCAATGCAATTGGTTAATTCGATAGTTTTCGACGATTGTAAAATCATCAACAATAGTGCAAGGAGGGTACATATTAAAATTTTTCTATCTGTTCGAAATCTAATTATTTACTTGTTTTCTTACTTAGATAGTTGACGACCCTTTTCATTGTAGAGCAAAAACACTATTGTAAACTACTGTCGTAGAATATACATTTTTCTGCTTTTAAGTGCAGTAATGACAAATTACTTACTTAAAAATTTAGTAGGATGTAATAGTTGAAGAAGCTGTAGCTTAATGAAAGGGCTGTAATCACTTTGTCAATAAATGTTCTATAGAAAGCTCAAAGTATACAAAATTTAGATGGAAATAACCGGTAGGTGAAATTCTTGATAATATGATGAAAATACAAAGAAAATCGCTAGAACTCATTAAACTAAAGTAAAATGAGTTAAGCTATGTCATCAACCTATTTAAATAATAATAATATTACTTACTTACTTACGCCTGTTACTCCTCGTGAAGAAGCATAGGCCGCTCACCAGCATTCTCCATCCAACCCTGTCCTGGGCAATCCTTTCTAGCTCCGTCCAGCTGTAATTCATCGTTTTCATATCTACTACTATTATCCGACGCAATGTGTTCTTTGGCCTTCCTCTTGTTCGCTTCCCTTCAGGATTCCAAGTTAGGGCTTGCCTCGTGATGCAGTTTGACGATTTGCGTAATGTATGTCCTATCCATTTCCATCGTCTTTTCCTAATTTCTTCTTCAGCTGGAAGTTGGTTTGTTCTCTCCCACAGTATGCTATTGCTGATGGTATCCGGCCAATGGATGTTGAGTATCTTACGTAGACAGCTATTTATAAATACTTGTATTTTCTTGATTGTGGTTGTTGTAGTTCTCCAAGTTTCAGCTCCATACAGTAGAACTGCCTTGACGTTGGTATTGAAGATTTTCACTTTGATATTGGTTGAAAGTTGTTTTGAGTTCCATATGTTCTTTAACTGTAGGAATGCTGTCCTTGCTTTGCCAATCCTTGCCTTTACATCTGCATCTGAAACTCCTTGTTCATCGATTATGCTTCCCAGGTATGTGAAGGACTCTACATTTTCCAGAGTTTCGCCATCAAGAGTGATTGGATTGTTGTTTTCCGCTTTGAATTTGAGGACTTTGGTTTTCCCTTTGTGTATACTGAGGCCTACTGATGCAGAGACTGCTGCTACACTGGCTGTCTTCATCTGCATCTGTTCGTGTGTATGCGATAGGAGGGCTAGGTCATCTGCGAAGTCCAAATCGTCTAATTGATTTCGAGCTGTCCATTGAATTCCTTCAGATGTCGAGGTCTTCATAATCCAGTCGACCACCAGAAGAAAGAGGAAGGGAGAGAGTAAACAGCCTTGTCTGACTCCGGTCCTTACTTGGAATGCATCTGTCAGCTGTCCTCCATGCACGACTTTGCACTGTAGTCCGTCGTATGAGTTCCGGATAATGTTGAAAATCTTCTTAGGAACTCCGTAGTGTCGGAGAAGTTTCCATAATGTCCTCCTATCTACACTGTCGAATGCTTTTTCATAATCAATGAAGTTGATGTATAGTGATGAGTTCCACTCAACTGATTGTTCGACGATGATCCGTAGTGTTGCAATTTGGTCTGTGCATGATCGATCCTTACGGAATACAGCTTGTTGATCTCGAAGTTGGGCGTCTACTGCATCTTTCATCCGGTTCAGCAACACTGTTAAAGACCTTCCCTGGTATTGACAGCAGTGTAATGCCTCTGTAGTTTTCACATTTGCTCAGATCTCCTTTCTTTGGAATCTTGACGAGGTGTCCTTCTTTCCAGTCCATCGGCGCTTGTTCCTCTTCCCAAATCTTTTTGAATAGATGGTAAAGCATGTTTGTAGTTGCTTCGATGTCTGACTTCAGTGCTTCAGCTGGTATGTTGTCCGGACCCGCTGCTTTCCCGTTCTTGATTTGTCTGACGGCCATTCTGATTTCTTCCTTCGTTGGTGGGTTGACGTCTATGGGAAGATCTGTGTGTGCCGCTTCGATGTCCGGTGGATTCATTGGAGCCGGCCTATTCAGGAGTTCCTCGAAGTATTCTACCCATCTGTTCCGCTGTTGTTGAATTTCGGTGATTGGCTTGCCTTCTTTGTCTTTGACCGGTCTTTCTGGTTTACTGTATTTCCCTGACAGTTTCTTCGTTGTATCGTAAAGCTGTTTCATATTTCCTTCTCTAGCAGCTTTTTCTGCCGTCATTGCTAGTTCTTGTCAGCTCTAATGCTCCTCTTCACTTGTTTGTTTGCTTCTATGTATTCAGCTTGTGCTTGGACTTTCTCTGCTCGTGTTCGGCTGTTGTTTATTGCTGCCTTCTTGTTTTTCCTTTCTTTGATCTTGTCCAGTGTTTTTGTAGAGATCCATTCCTTATGGTGGTATTTCTTTAGACCCAGAACCTCTTGACACGTTAAAGTTAGTGCTTCCTTGATGCCTTTCCAGTTGTCCTCCATACTAGTTTCTTCTTCTTCCAGATCTTGTAAGGCTTGGAACCTGTTGTTGAGAGCTATCTTGAATTCATTGAGTTTGTCAGTATCTCGAAGGAAGGCTGTATTGAACCTTTTTAATGGTGTTTGTCCAAATGTCCAGTTCTTCTTTAGCTTCAGTTTTAAATTGGCCACAACTAGGTGATGATCTGAAGCTACGTCAGCACCTCTCCTGGTTCTCACATCTTCCATTGTCCTTCTGAATTTTTTGTTGATGCAAATATGATCTATTTGGTTCTCTGTAGTGTGGTTCGGTGAGATCCATGTAGCCTTGTGTATACGCTTGTGTGGAAATATTGTGCCTCCTATGACCAATTCGTTGAATGCACATAGATTTGCGAATCTTTCTCCATTTTCGTTTCTTTCTCCCAGTCCATGTCGTCCCACAATATCTTCATATCCGGTGTTGTCTATTCCGACTTTGGCATTTAGATCTCCCATCAGAATAGTTAGGTCCTTTCTTGGGCATTTCTCAATGACTGACTGCAGCCGCTCGTAAAACTGATCTTTAGTGTCGTCGTTGCTATCATTTGTGGGTGCATAACATTGGATAATATTCATTAAGATCCCCTCCTTCTTTGTCTTGAACGATGCTTTGATGATTCTGGATCCGTGAAATTCCCATCCTACAAGTTCATTTCGTGCTACTTTGGACAGCGTAAGAGCGACTCCCTGAGTGTGTGGAGCATTGTCCTCTTCGTGACCGGAGTATAGCAGCATCTCTCCCGTAGCTAGCCTTTTCTGTCCAGCTTGAGTCCAGTGGATTTCGCTGATTCCCAGTACTGCTAAGTTGTATCTCCTCATTTCCATTGCTATTTGACTGGTCTTCCCGGTTTCTCACATTGTTCGAAAGTTCCATGTACCTATAAAAATTTTTGCTCTGGTTGTTAGAAGGGGCATCGGCCTCGTGGTTTCCGAAGGAACTCGGCTTCCACCATGAAGCGTCATAATTCTTCTAAATGAAGACCTTCTAACTCCCAGGGCAGAGTTAAAATGGTTTGGATTATTTTTTCTGGTAAGCGTTTTTTTAGCGAGTTAGTTTTCTACGGGATGGGGACGCTAACCCCATGCCCAACCCTCCTCCTTTACCCGGGCTTGGGACCGGCAGTAACCTTATAAGAGCTACAGGCGGAGTTAAAATAATAATATGCCGTTGATAATTCTAGCTCAAAGTTTTTAAAACGAAAGAGGTTTATTATAGTGCTTAAGGTGAAAAGTTTTATTGATATATATGACTGGCGAAATTTTCGGACGTCAATAATCAGTGAAACAAAGTTAATTTAGCTTTGCTAAACAACACAAGAATTTTTTTTGAGAATACATGTAATAAAGATGGCCGCGTATGACTTTAAACATTCTATACGACTCATGTTGTAAGCCCTTTAGAGATAAGTGTGAACTGGACTAAAAATTTGTCAGTCGTCTATAAAACAGACTAAATACAGGTGATTATGGTCAATGTGGAGCGATTCATTATGGGATTATTCGATATCTGGTTTAAGATTCCTTTAGAAAATACAGAGGCTGAAGCTTCCGAAAATAATAAAATGTGAGTGTTACTAGTGTCGTTTCTCGTTGAACGACGAAACAGTCGACTTGTCTTGTTAACGACGTGCAGCAGCTCGTATTAATGATTCGTCAACCATCTGGTAACTGTAAACAATCCCTCGACCAGACGAACATGAATAAGTGACTTATATCTACATCCACTAGCTTGCCTGATTTGTTAGTTACATGATATTTGGCGAAACATGTCTTCGTGTTGATGAGGATGCTGTCGGTCGCTGCCAATATCTTTTAATTTCGCTCTCGTATTTATTGTAAAAATCATGACGGCTATCACCGATAATAAAATGACAGTAAGTTTCAGTTTGATATTTTGTCAGCTGTCTGACAAACTCTTCTTTATTTGAAAATCAAACACTAACAAACATCTCTTTGAAAATATTCTCAGCTTTGTTGTTTAAAAATAAGGATCATAATTTGGTAC